GGTGACGATGGCTCCAGCAGTACATGTAAAGAGAAAAGCAATCTCTAATTAGCATCAAGAAAATTAATCTTGTGTACGTATGTCTGCATATATGAAGCATGCATATATTTTTTGATTGGCCGATTGATCTCCTGTAGCATGAACAGTACACGCATCCACACATGCACGTCACCAGACAGATTGCAGGCTGCCATCCGTGCGTACAGATCACGGGTCCGAGTCCGGATCAAATCCAACTTGGAGGCTTTACGTGATGGGAATCAGACTCAGGTGACCATGGCGCATGCAAAATAAGGAATCACAGATCAAACTGAGATTAGAAAATTAATCTAATCTAATCTAGTTAGTACACACTAGAAGATTAATTAGAAGTATATGCATGCATGATTAGGTAGATCGTGCATGTATGTTGATCTGCTGAATCAACTCATGCATGCATGAAATTTCTCCGAGCAAGCTATAGGCGGCTGCTCCCATGTGCCCGTGGTGGCGTGGTGGCCGCAACGCATCCGTCGGCGCTGCTCCTGGCGATCGCCGTCAACAGCTCCGTTTTAACCTCAGCCGACCAGCCCCATAGAAAGCAAGGAAAACACCAGAAGAGCAAATCACAATTAGAAATTAATCTAATAACAGTTAGATCAAAACGCCGAACCCGACTGAAGATTTGAGCCATCGAGATTAATCTCGCCGTTTCTTCTGTAGTTGATTCCATCACACTTTTCGATGGGTAATTCGACGCAGCCCCTACCTGACGCGCCAACTATCGAAATATGAATTCGGCAATAATAAAAGGGGGTAGCGCACGAAACCTAAAAGTGGATGGATGCGGAGACAAAGGATTTAGACAGGTTCAGGCCCTCTCAATGAGAGGTAATACCCTACTCCTGTTTGGGGATTTGAATCCGCCGAGTGTATATAGATCTGACGATCTAGTTGTCTCATGCCCCCTAGAGGGTTTCCTGCCCACCTTATATAGGATGGGGGGCAGGATTACAAGATAGAAACCTTAACCAATACGGTATAGGTTTCCTAAATCTAATTTACAATATTATCAAATCAGGACTTTAGTCCGTTCCATAATATACAGGGAAACGTAATACCCAAGTCATGATCCGTTACATATTCCATAGATATAAGTTATCCCATATAACCAGTCGAATAACCATGCCATGTGGGTATGGGGTACCTATAATCTCCACAGGTATGTCCAAATTATTAGTACTAGAATATGTTATATCTAGTCCTAAATTGATTTTATATGAGACGGAGGGAGTATGGTTCAAGCTTTAGAGAAGTGCCCTCGGACGAGGGCAACCCATAATTGACCAAGTCTAATTCTCCAAGTCTACTCTAAGTCTAATTCTCCAAAGAAGAATGAACCCATAACTGTGACTAGAAAATCACATTCCGCGATCGAGACTACTCGTCATATATTACTGCCTTAACTACATTAGACACGTGGTTCAGGCGGTAATTCTGAAAAAAAAATCATTACAAATGCACGGCTGCAGAGAGAAGACAACATACTAGTGCTTCTTTTTGAGCTAGGAAGACATAATACTCCCTCCGTATTTTAACGTATAGGGCAGCTACCGTACGGGATTCCGTTGCAACGTAGCAGCCACGGGATAAGATCTCCATTACCTTATCTCCTTCCTTTCCCCTCCACAAACTCTCTCTCACACAGGAGAAGAAAACGAGAGCGCGGAGATGAAGCTGGACAGGAGGAAGGGGTCGTCATCGTCTCCGGCGGCCATGGATGACGACGTCACGGCGTCGGTGAGGTAGGGGCGGCGTCGAGGGTGATCTCGCCGCACCTCCACGACGTCGTCCTCCGCCCGCTGCGGCGCCGCCTCCACACGCTGTGGCGCTGCTTCTTCCACTAGCGCTCTCGTCGCTGCCGGCGCCGGGGCCTCTCCCCTCCTCCCTCGCGCTCCTCGCCAAGGTCGCCGTCGTCCTTGTCCGCTACTCCCGCCGCCTCCTTGCCGGTGAGCGCAGGTGGCTCCTCCTCCGCCGCCACAGAAGCAGAAGAAGCCGGCGGTCTCCTCCTCTCCACTCTGATACCTGGTACCTTGGGTATAAGGTATCTGGTACCTTTGGTACCTGGTACCTCTGGTACCGACTGATACCTTTGGTACCTGGTACCAGGCTAGTACCTAGTATCTAGTACCGTGATACTTGGTACCCGTGATACCTGGTACCTGATACCCGTGATACCTGGTACCTGGTACCCTGGTGCTTGGTGCCTGGTACCTGATACCCGTGATACCTGGTACCTAGTAGCCTGGTACCTGGTACCCTGGTGCCTGGAGCAGGAAGAGAGAGAGAAGGAGGCAGCCGCGTGGAGCAGGAGAAGGAGGAGGCGCGCGAATCCGGTGGTCGGCGAGGCGAAGCGTGGAGGAGGCAGCGGCGAATCCGGTGGTCGGCGAGGCGGGGCAGCCGATGAGAAGACCGACAAGGGCGGGGAGCCAGAGCGGCGCTGCAAGGGAGGCGAGCTTGAGGACGACCCTTGCCGAGGCCGCGCCGTCGTCGTCCTCCTCGGCGGCCGGGGTCCTGAGCCAGCAGCGGCTTCCCCGGCGCCGGCAGCGGCCTCCGCGCCACCGCTCCCGCTCTCCCTCTTGTTCACCGCACCCGTCGCCAAGCTCCTCGTCGTCGCCGCCTCCCCCGCGGCGGTGGCCGCCGGCTCCGACGAGGGGTGGGGCGAGGGCAACGGGGACGACGGCGGCCACCGGCTCCGACGAGTGGTGGGGCGACAGCGATGGGGACGACGGTGGCCACTGGCTCTGATGATTTGGGGGAGAAGAGTGAGGTAGGAGGAGGGGATCGATCCGGATTACTATCCCGTCTCCACAGGATGCCGTGGAATAGATTTTCTGTTTAATGTATGACGTCGTTGACTTTTCGATCAACGTTTGACCATTCGTTTTATTTAAAACGTTTGTGCAAATATGAAAATATTTATGTATGTTTAAAGAACATTTGATGACGAATCAAGTTACAACAAAATAAATGATAGTTACATAAATTTTTTCAATAAGACGAATGGTCAAACGTTAGATAAAAAGTCAACGGCGTCATACATTAAAATATGGAGGGAGTAGCTTGGAGTTACGGTCCCTACTTATAACTGACTTAACTGAGGTTGTGTTTGGCAGCGGCAGTTGGAAACTAATCCCTAGTGCACGCGCAAAATAGAGAGACTCATTAACACATGATTAATTAGGTATTAGCTATTTTTTAAAATAATGAATTATATGACTTTTTAAAGTAACTTTCCTATAGCAAACTTTAAAAAAACACATCGTTTATCAGTTTGAAAAACATGAAAGAGGAAGGTGAATTGGAAAAGAAGGGAAAGAACGCCGCCTTAGACCTTGTTTGGAGATAACAATAGGTATAGAATAAAGGGACAATTGCTTATTTGACCCTATTTTGAACTGTAATTGTCGATTTGGCCCTACTTTTTAAACTTTGCTTATTTGACCCTCTTTTTCGAGTACGAAGCTTCCGTCTGACCTTCTTTTGATGACTCCGTTAGGGTTCGATTTTTTTTTAAAAAAAGAAAATGTTTCAAGAGTTCCTAATGACGAAAATACCCTCCAAACCCTATTTTGACTCTCTCTCTCTCTCTCTCACTCGTGCCTCACGGTCTCAGCTCTCTCTCACTCGTGCGTGCAGCGGCGGCGACGACCTACGCGTGTGGCGGCGGCTAGCTAAGGGGGCGGCGGCGGCGAGCTGAGGGGGCGGCGGCGGCGGCGTCAAGCACTGCCCCGCCAGCGCCCACTCGTTGTGGTGGAGGGCGGCGGCGGCGGCGATCTGAGGGGGTCCGAGTCGGCGCCGATCTGAGGGGGCGGCGGCAACGATCTGTGGGGGCGGCGGCGGCGAGCTGAGGAGGCGGCGGCGGCGGTCTGATGGGGCGCGGGGCGGCGCCGATTTGTGGGAGCGGCAACGCCGAGCTGTGGGGGCGGTGGCGCCGAGCTGTCGTGGCGGCGACGGTGAGCTCGATGACGAGGAGGAGCAACGGTGGTGGTGGAGCTCAGGCCATGGCGGTGTGCAAGCGGTGGATCCGGTGGCTGCTGGGTATATGAGCCGCAGATCTGGCGGCGGCGGCGCCTCTCTCCCGCGAGCTGGTGAGCTTCGGCGCCGCGCCGTCACCACTCCACGCGCGCCAGCCTCCTCCTTTCTCCGCGCGCGTGATGCCGCCGCCCGCCCTCCGCACGCCGGCGAGCTCCAGCGCCTTCCTCCCTCCGTCTGCGTGCCGGCTTCTGTCTTCCTCCGCGCGCGCGCCGCCGCCGGGTCGGCAACGACGACGACGACGATGCCACGGCGAAGATCACAGGGAGCCGTTCCCTCCCTCCCCGCGTGCGTCGGCCTCAATCTTCTTCCACGCGCGCCGCCGCCGGTCAGCAACGACAACGACGACGACGACGACGCTGTGGCGAAGAGCACAGGGCGCCGCTCTCTCCCCCAGCACGCGCCGGCCTCCGTCTTCCTCCGCGGGTGCGCCGCCGCCGCTGCCGGGGAAAGAGATTTTTTTTATATTATCCAAACTTTACAAAACAGGGTCAAACAAGCAAACAAACAAGATATAACAGGGCCAAATAAGCAAGGGCAAAATGGACTATTTACCCCAAAATTAACACCGTCACCTTACACAAACGGAATAGGGTCAGACCGGAGCTTCGTACTCGAAAATGAGGGTCAAATAAGCAAAGTTCAAAAAATAGGGTCAAATCGGCAATTACAATTCAAAACGAGGTCAAATAAGCAATTGCCCCTAGAATAAATGATCTCTAAATTCCCCTCGATCTCCTGCGGAAGGGATTAACCTAACTAAGGTCTTATTAGTAGTAACTTGTGTTCCATTGGGTTAAAAAGGCCCGGCCTATGAAGTGAACTTCCCGGCCCATCAACATTTTTCGGTTTTGGATACTGGGCCTCCTTTTGTGATGGGCCGAGCCCACTTCTTCGGACCTTGGGACCAATGGCCTTCACGGCCCATGCGTAGCGTCCCCCACAACCAAACAGCACCACCACCCGGAAGCCGTGTAGATGCCGAAGCGCCCGGCGAGCGGCCGCCATGGCCGTGACCGGCCACAGTTCAGTCGCAGGTGTAAACGCCGATTTCGCGGCCTTAGCCACGAAGGGAGTCGCCGAACAAAGGATAGTCCCCACCCTGTCCGGCTCGGTGATGACGGCAGTTAGATCGGCGGATGGGGAATTGCGGCAGCGGTGAGCCGGTGACTGTGGGGAATTACGGCAGCGGCAGCAGCGCCGGCAGGGGAGGCTGCTACTGTTGTTCATACACGAGTAGCCCCGGCACGTTGGGCAGAAGCTTATCGAGGTCGGAGAGAGGTGCCCGCTTCATCTCCAGAGGAGACAGTAAGTAACCTACCCCTTTGGCCTTTGCTCGAGTGCTAGATTCTCTCACAAATTGCTGTGATTTCGCTAGTTTGGACACTCGTAGATCTAATTGGGTCAATCTAGCATATGTTAATTTATCCATTGAATTGTTTGCAATATGTCAATTTCTGAAGGAAATAATGGGAATACTTCAGAAGCGATTGGACCCCGGGGCTTGAATTTCCGGATAGATCCATAGAAAATTAAATAAGTTGAGATTGAAGTTCTTCGTTTCAAACATACTTTGATGGAATTTGGAGCATATTTTCTTATTCCTTTTGGAGTCTTAGTATGTAAGAGTAAGACTGACTGCAATTTAAGATATTCATAACCTTGTCTTTCTAAAATAATAAGGAAACCAGAGTAGCTTCAGCCTTCTTGTTTAGCTGCCTTCAACAACAAGACTACAGCTGAGAGATGTTAAGCCAAAACGCCAAATTTCGATGGTTTTGTATTAATTCTGAATACTGAAGGTCATCTTTTTCACAGAGTTGGTAGTCATTGTAGGAATTCTGAATTCACAAGGCTAATCTCTTCAACATTCAGTATTTCACTAACAGCATATGCTTTGTCAGTAGCAGAGCTTGTGCTTTCCGCATTTAACTTGTGAACCGGATGTTCTCTGCAAAAAGAAATGGCATCGGTGAATTTCATGGAGAATGCTTGTACCAAACAGCACAAAAAAGTGGGAAGATAATGAGGTGTCTTACAGTGATTCACAGAAGCTTTGCTTTGGAGGCATGTCCAGTTCGTCTAAAGCTTTCTCAAACATATCTAAAACCTGGGTTATTGTTGGGCGATGCATAGGTAATACTTGTACACACCACAAGCCAATTAAAGTCATCTTTTTGGCGATTTCCTCAACCTCACTTGTGACTTCACAAGCTTGCAATCCATCACCTTGATAAAAGTGGTCATAAATCCAGTCTGGGAAATATTTTTCACTAGAGTTTTGAACCATTGATTTCACATTTTTCCGGCCTCCAATCATCTCAAGCAACATCATTCCGTAACTATAAACATCCGACTTTATTGAAACAACCCCAAAAGACCGATACAAAACTTCAGGAGCAATGAATCCAATTGTTCCTCTAGCACCGGTCATTGAAAGCTTGCTCTCCTTGGTACAACACAATTTAGCTAAACCAAAATCGGCAATCTTTGGGCAAAAATCCTGGTCTAGAAGGATATTTTGAGGCTTGATATCAAAATGCACGATTCGTGTATTACAACCATGGTGCAAGTATTCTAGCCCACGAGCAATCCCAATTGCTATATCATAGAGCTTTTCCCATCCTAAAGTTTCTTTGGGTTTTTCTGAGTAAATGTAGTTATCCAGAGAACTGTTGGGCATGTAGTCATATATAAGAGCTCGTTTTGAGCCCTCCAAACAAAATCCAAATAAGCTAACAATATTAACATGTGATGTCCTGCCAATGCTCATTACCTCGTTTACGAATTCTTCCCCATTTCCTTTGGAGTCATGCAAGAATTTCACAGCAACCAGACGACCATCTTGTAGCTTTCCTTTGAAAACCACACCATAACCACCTTCTCCAAGCTTATTACTCAGAAATGATGTTATCTTTGCTACCTCCGAATACTTGTATCTTTTTGGAGCTAGGGATCCGTACGATACTATTAATTTCTGAATGTTACTTTCATTTCTGCTGCGAGTCTTGTTGCATAGGAGATAGCACAATATTTGCCCCTTTCTATGCCATATCAGCACATAAGCACATGGAAAGAGCAGGCTTACAGCTACTGGTATCAAAACTGAGAAAAAAAAGAGAAGTTATATTCTTTTTCAAGATCATAAGTCGTATTATTGATATCAATATTTTGATTTTTTTTTAGTAAAGAACTAATTAAAAAGCATAAGGGCGGCAAAAGTAGGACTACACTAGGCCATAAATTTTGCTCCATATCTGACACAATTTTGAGGGTTGCTTGTTTTTAATATTCATCAATTGAAATAAAGCATAAATGATTATAGCAGGGTAGATTTTGAAAAGAATTTTTGTTATATAAAATAACTACTCTATTTGTTCTACTTTAGTTGTCACTTTGGACATCAACATAGTCTTCAATTCACACATATGGCCACTACATTTGTAGTTATATGCTAGTACGAAATACTGAAACTACACTGATATGAAAAAAAAAAAGGCCAGTCCACTGGTGTCATTTTCATGTGAGAAATTGTATATATTAGTGACTGAAATTTTTAAGGCTTGACTGCATAGATTCTGAAATGGCAGTCATTAAAGAATAATAGCTGAAACAGGGATGGGTTAGATATGAAAGAAGAATAAAATTTTACATACCTATTAGCGTTTTCTTCCTGCCATTGCTCTTGCTATCTGGAATAGAACAGAACATTAATCGTCAACGCATTTTGAGTAGAACTATATTTATGATTTCGTTAAAGAAAGAAACGAAGAATGTGTGAAGAAATTTTAATATTTTGAAGATGAATGATGGGAAATATATTGCAAGATAGCGAGGAGCATGGGCCGTTCGTCTTTCTTTTGATGAAAGATTGAAGAAGTATGTCAATTAAACCTCGATTTAATATAACCATAGGAATTATATGTTCTTTATCTCATACTAGGTTGATCGATTGTCGATATAGTTGTGTAACACTACTTTGTTTTTGTTAGTGTTTTTCCCTGCACTGTATAACAAATTGATATTCATGCAGAGTTCACTTCTTTACAGCTAACTGATTGTCTAGAACAGTCCAACACTTGACTGAACTGTTCAACAAAAGGATTGACCGTAGCTAATGTAATAATAGTGCACTGAAAGTATTGAATATTGTCCTGTCATGTTACCAAGTAATCAATATCATTAAAGATTTGCATAGAGTAGTGTTGAATGTTGATGGTGCCAGTTGTGGGGTTTATCAGCACGGTGAATACTACGAGCATGGACACACACGTACCAGGAATGGGCGATATGCATCCTGCAGCGCAACAATGGGGTGTATGAGTGTATCGATGGTGTGCAGCTGGAGCGTGGCCAATGCTACTACTACATCCGCATTTTAATAGACGACGCTGACGATTTTTGAAATAATGTTTGATCGTTTTGTTCGTCTTATTTCTTTAAAAAATTATCAACACGTTATTTATTAAAAAACGATCATTGTTCAACCAATCCAACTTCTGCATGGTCCAGTTGACAGCTTTATTGTTTGTCGTTTGAATCTTCCGTGTCTTCGGTTGATTTCAAAGGGCACTGATTTCGTCGGTGCTGATTGTGACTTAAAAATATTAGTATTTGACTTGATTTCTTAAGGTAGTGACTAGTGACAGAAAACATGGTGCGAAATGGCTAACGGTGACTGTAAAATCTTGACTATTCTCAGGATTTTTACGGCCGTATTGTCTACTCGTCTCTCTCCTGTATATATAAGAGCAAGTTCAATAGTATAGCCAACTACTTACTTCAATTCATTTATAGACAATCTAATAGCTCATTTATACAATAGTTACATTCTACACTATTAATACCTAGTCCCATCTGTCATAGACACATTGCGTCTTGGAGTCCGCGCTACAACTGGCTATAAATCTGTAGCCCGCTGCTCTTCTCTTTCCTGATTTATCTCTTTAAAATATGTTTGCAGCTGGCTTATAGCCTGCTATTGTACCTGCTCTAACATACTACCTCCGTCTTAAAATAAGTGCAGCCATAAGTTTTCGCGCTCAACTTTGATCGTCCGTCTTATTTGAATTTTTTTTATAATTAGCATTTTTGTTGTTATAAGATGATAAAACATGAACAGTATGTCTTTAATTTTCTTAAAAAAATTTTAAATAAGACAAATGGTCAAAGTTGGATGCGGAAAACCATGCCTGCACTTGTTTTGGGACGGAGGAAGTATATACGTAGGAGTACTTTATACATACGTATGTACCATTAAAGTGTTTTCGTGGCCGAGGGCCAGAGGCATGCGAGATGCGAAGAACTCACCGCCTGCAACGCAGCTGGTGGGGTTGTGGACGCCGCTGGGACATTTGCACGAGAACCCCATGCCGTCGCTGCTGTACTCGCATTGCCCGCCACTCGCCGAGCACTTCTGGCAATCACCCGGCACCAGCATCCACTCGAGCAGAAGCCCTCGCCTCATGCTCGCGACGTAGTCCCCGTCCTGCAACCCAAGGACCGGCACGACGGACATGGAGCATCCCGGCAGCAAGAGACGAGGGCGGCCGTCGCCGAGGAAGACGAACGACTCGTCGGGGCTGCAGGGCATACGGCGGAACCCCTGCGGCGGCCGCCGCTTCGTGGTGGTGCAGTTGTGGACGAAGACGAGCTCCTTGTTGGCCCTGCTGATGAGGAATGGCCCCATGACGAAGCCGATGGAGATGTTGAACCACGGCACCGGGCAGCCGCTCTCCAGCGGGAGGCTCCTGTCGACGACGACGACGGAGGAGTTGCCGGTGAAGATGCGGACCACCTGGTAGGTCTGGAAGAAGCTGTGCGCCACGAACGCTTCGCTGCCCCTGCACTGGAGCTGGAACGTCGGCGGCCCGCACGGCGGCCGGCCTGGCTCGTCCAGCCAGAACGGGGGATTGATGGTGAGGTTGCCGCATGTCGCCGGCTCGCAGTCGGCGTGCGCGTGGTGGCAGAGAAGGAGCAGAAACGAGGCCAAGACTAGCTGCGATGAGGTTTGATGCATGATCAATCTGCAGATTAGCTGACGAAATTCTGAAGGACAGCTGGAAAAGAAAACACGATGTAGGACTGTACTCCCTCTGTCCCAAAAAAAAAAGCAAATCATGGGTTTCCGTGTCCAACTTTAACTGTTCGTGTTATATGAAATTTTTTTATAATTCGTATTTTCATTGTTGCTAGATGATAAAACATGATTAATATTTTATGCGTGACTTGTCTTTTTAATTTTTTTCGTAATTTTTTCAAATAAGACAAACGGTTAAATATTGGGCACGGAAACCAGGGTTTGTCTTTTTTGGAAGGAGGGAGTACAATATAGCCGACGATCGATCGAGTCTGACACGCTGATTGGTACTCTTTTCTTTTCTTTTTTTTTTGTGGGGGCTGATTGGTACTCTTTTGACCAGTCACTGTAGACCCGGCGTTAGTGAGACATCTCATCTCACCATCTCGGGCAAAATTACACCACGAGAAATCTAAATCTAAATATCTTTTCACTGAACTTAAAGCAGTTTGAACAGAATTCAAACAATTTAAAGAAATTCATCCAAAATTTTTGGTCTATTCGAACAGGAGCTTTGAGATAGCACGATCTGGTGAGATACCGATGATACCAAAGCCAGTTTTTGACCATGGATACGACTCATCTTATCCATCCCAGAGAAAAGTCTCAACATATTGGACCATGGTTTCGTTGATTAGCCTTTTTATGCGAGGACTGTGGATGAGGCGCCGGTTACGGTCATTGGCGAGGGAAGTGGAACTGACGACGAGGCGTCATGGTCAGGTCAGTGGGATTCGTATGGACTGTCCAAACTGGGCCCTATTGTTCGTATGGGCCGTTTCTTCAACGTGTGGTCCAGCAAAGTTTGACGCCCGTCCCCTTGACAGTGCGTGGGCCTAAAGTACTACTGTTTATTGGCACATAACGTAAGCCTCCATGGCCCATCAGCCCATGCCATGCCATGTCAGTCTTGAGGGCCTCTGTACTGTCTTCTCTCTCCTCCCAGGGATCCCCTCCCCAAGCCGCCGTCGCCCCGCCGCCGTGACTCCTCGTCGCTGGCAGGTCACCCCCACCGGAGGCAGGCGAGGCATGAAAACAGTACGTGCGCTAGCATCCGCGCAAGAGGAGCTCGCCTTCCCGACGGCCCTGCAGGCTGTAGATCGATCAGCAGTTCAGCACAGCACGAGGATCCCAGTAAGTTCTGCATCTTTTTTTTATTACGCGATGAATGCCTAGTGGATAAGTGCTAAACTAAGATGCTTGATACTAGATGTTAGCTAGTGGCTACTTAATACTGAGTAATTACTAGGTTCTTTCATGCGTTTGGGTTTGGTTTTTTACGGGGCTGATCCACACCCGGGTCCGGTTGCTCTGCCGGAACAAGGGAACATACACATACATTGGTTGATTACCTCCACTAGTAGTTGCAGAAGTACGGTGTTTTTTCAGCAATAAGCGCTATAGAAAATGCAACTCCATTTTCACAAACAAAGATTATTGTTTATACCTAGGTGTGTTACAAACTTCACAGAGTATTCGGCTTGTTAGGTGCTAAAGCCATAATGAAAACCAATGAATTGAATGAACATAATAAGGGGTATTTTTTGTTCCCTATAGAACTGCGTTTCAGCTTGAACATTATTGAGTATTCTTAACTCCTAATATAAGACATCAATAACATGCCAAGATGCACCATAAACGTGCTCTTCATAGTCGGACAAAAACAAAACTAGAGGGATGTTAATAAATGCAAACTAGTATCACATAAAAGAATTTTATAGTGGAAAAGTACTGCCTAATGTTGCGTGTAAAAAGTGAAGCAGCATTCACCTGCAGTATTGACTTGTGAAGCAACAAGATTGTTAGAAGTAAACTCTGTCCACCAACAATATACTTCATGCGTTCAGTACTTCAGTTATGGAACACATGCAATGTATAATCCGCAGTTCCGCACAGATATATTGTTAAGACAAAAAAGAAAAAGAAAAAGAATGATACATGGTAGGGACATGAGTCATGACAGGAATGGTTTGGGTGGCACTTCCATTTCATTGATGTTCTTCTCCAGCATTTCTATGACCCTACTAATGGAAGGGCGATTCCCTGGGTTAGTTTGTATACACCATAAACCAACTAATGTCATCAATTTGGCAATCTCTTCCTCCTCAGTAATGATTGCATGAGTTTGCAAATCTTTCACTAAACAATCATAAATCCTGTTGGGAAAATAATTTCCAGTGGAATGGCTGGTAGTTAATTCATTAGCATGCCTCCTTCCTCCTACCAATTCTAGCAGTAGCATACCATAGCTGTATACATCTGATTTAGTGGACACAACTCCAAAACCTCTAGAAAATACTTCTGGGGCAATAAATCCAACTGTACCTCTTGCTTCAGCCATTGAGAGGGCACTATCCTTGAGGCGACACAGTTTTGCCAATCCAAAATCCGCAACTTTAGGGCAGAAGTCCTCATCTAGAAGGATGTTCTGGGGCTTGATATCAAAATGGATTATACGTGTATTACACCTGCAATGCAAATATTCCAATCCACGTGCAATGCCAATTGCTATTTGTTGCAATTTTCCCCATCCAACGACAATTTTTGATTCTTCTGAATAAATATAATTATCCAATGAACCATTGGCCATATATTCATAAACAAGTGCTCGCTTAGATCCTTGTAAACAAAAACCAAGCAGACTGACAATATTCACATGAGATGTCCTACCTATACTGATTACCTCGTTCAGAAACTCCTCCCCGTTGCCTTTTGTTCCTGTCAAGAGCTTCACTGCTACAATGCGGCCATCTTGTAGGATGCCTTTGAATACCATGCCATAGCCACCTTGTCCAAGTTTATCCTTGAAAGATCTTGTTATTTTCTTAAGCTCTGAGTAGTTATACCTCTTTGGAGCGAGAGAATCATATTCTTTAAGTGCTTCCTCTATTTTTGATTCATTGGCCACATACTTCTGGAGGGTTAATAAACTGCCCTTTTCCTTCTGACGACATGTAATCCAAACAAGACATGTGAGAATCAAGCTGGTTGTAGCAGACAGTGAAACTGGAATAAAAAAGAATAAGGTTTTAGTTAGATACTGATCGATATGCCCTGGCAATGTAAAGAAAAATGTAATTATGCATTTTGAAATTTTAGCTATCCTCCTAACTTTATATGTTACAGATAACTAAGCAAAAATATGTACAACACAGAACATACCAATCACAATCAACTTGAGCTTTGACCTCCTGCTATTTCCTGCAAAATGTAATGTTGTATCAATGAAAACCTTCAGACTCAAAGACAAAGATATGCCCATAATGAATGTGTGTACAAAATGATACGACAGTTTTTATAAAAACATAATAACTTAAATGGTAGCACAGATTAAATGGTATTTTTGCATTCCTGATGGTGGTGAACAGTAGTGGAGCCACAAACAAGCTGTCGGGTCGGCTGACCCAACAGCTAATTTTCCATGTAAATTCATTGAATTTTACGTAAATAACCTCACTAAAGCATCAAACAATGATAATTGACCCCACATGATAAAATTGCCGGCTCCGCCACTGGCGGTGAAACATGACATTGACGAGTTGGCATTCTGTCATGATGGCGGAGAATGCAACTGACATGGAATGCCTGTGTGCAGAATTGAGAGGAGACCCATTCCAGTTCTACAATGAATTGATGGCACACTTTTCATTTCTTCTAAATGTGCTAAATGGACACTTTGTATGCACTGAATCCACTAGTAGCGCCTGCGTTGCATGTTGAGAGAACTATTGTGCATACGAATAGGCAGTTGCGCCCGCCGGGCTGCAACTTGACAGTTGTGCCGATCCTTGAGCGGCCTGATGGGAGCAGCGCCGGCTATGTTGCCAGCACGACTGCACGAGGAATGGGTTTCTACTATAGTGGGCTTGTGGTGTCACCCATATGTCACGTACGGCAACGACCTGGGATTCTCCTGCAACTGCTCCGACGGGATGCACCCTCGGAGGTGTGCAGAGTTTGAGAGATCAGAAAAGAACGGTAAAATACGGCTCCTATATTTGCAAACGAAAAATAATTTGTGAATAAAACTTTTATACGTACGTGTTCTTAGCGATGTAAAAACAGAGACTGAAAAATAATCTTCGATGGAAAAAAACCTGAAAATCAACTTCAATTTTAATTTAAGGTTGAGAATTCTAATTTTCACTGATAAATATAAGCATAAGCGAAAAGATGAGACATATAGTTTTCATTGAGATGGAAGAAAGGGAACGGTGAACGGGATATGACTAATGACGCGCACAGTGGAAAATGACCGAGGAACCGGTTTTGACCGGAGGTCCACGGATTGAACGGACTTGCTCGGTTGCTCCTTTTTCTCTCTTTATTTCACTTTCTTCGTAGTTTTGCACCTCCAATTTATTTATCCTGAATATCGATACCCATCGTTTTTTCAGTTGGCCAATGGCAGACCTGGTCACCTGGACTAGCGTGGACTAGTGATGAACTGATGACGACGGCCTTATCAACAGATAAACTAGTCCGGATTGATTAACAGGTTGGATCTTTGAGAAGCTGACACCAGAAATTTTTACGCATTGTTCCTCCTAGGAACGTGATCAGGTAGATGGTGAACTTACCAGATGATGGCGGCCCTTGCCATGTCAAGAGGAAGCCGTCGCGGATGAGCTGCTCATAGCTCCTCGCGTCCGTGCCCAGCACCGGCACGACGGTAGCATTGCAGCCTTCCATGTAAAACGCCGGGTAGTCGCCCGAATCACTGTAATTCCCTCCTACGCGAGCAAACGTCTTGTTGCCGCACCTCGTCTCCACGAGGTCGCCGTCTCCGTCCCGCGGCACAAGCGCCTTACTGCAACTGTACAGGAAGAGGTTGAGATTGGTGGTGCTGATGGAGAACGGGAGGGCGACCTTGGAGGAGGTGTTGGTCCTCGGAACATGGCAGGAGTATTCTTTGCTGGCGCCGGAGAAGACATCGAAGCCACCGAGCTTGTGGACGTCAGAGACGAGCAATGAATTGTTGCCGTAGAAGATGTCGAGGACCTGGATCCGGTAACCGAGCTTGTAGTAGCCGAGGTAAGGAGTGTCGTTGCGGCAGATAACCTGGAACCCAAGCCAGCCGCATTTGCTCTCCGTTGCCTGCTCCGGCACGACGGCGAACGGCGACGAGATGGTCACCTTGCCACATACAGTACTGGCCGCGCAGCCTTCTTCTGGATTTGCATCTGCCGACGTCCTAAATGCTTGGCTCTCCCAAGCGAGGTAGGTGATGAATAACAGCAACAAGGTAGGAGGCGGCATCGAAAACTAACAATAGGATATGTTGCAGAGGAAGACATGAGAGAATTTTAGCACTACTACTACTTGTACTACGACACATTTGGACTAGTACTAGTGAGCGAGGCGACATCCTTCCTATTCCTATGCATTGGCCGAAACATAACTGAGCGAGTTCGCCGGTTACTGCTATGTTCTAAACTCTTCCTTCTCAACTTTTACTTCTTGTGTTCGGCTTTCCGAGTTGGGAACTAATCAACTAGTGTACGTAAAACTGCACAATTGATTAGCGCATGATTAATTAAATATTAGTTATTTTTTGAAAAAGATTAATATAATTTTAAAGTAACTTTCTAGAATTTTTTTTAAAAAAGTATACCGTTTAGCAGTTTAGGAAGCGTGTGCATGGAAAAACGATGTGAGTTGAAAACCTCAACTAAAGAACTTTAACTTTTACCTCTTGCTTTTTAGCACACACACTTTCTGAATAGTTAAATGGTGTGTGTTTTTTTTAAAAAAATTATAAAAGAAGTTGGTCTAAATTATACTCCCTCCGTTTATTTTTGATAGTCATATTTCATCTTGACACACAGACCAAGGATAAGTAATTATACTTATCATCCATTTAAACATGCTACTAATTATTCATCGTAAACAAACGATTCATTAATATTTACATTTCTCAATGCCCATGTAGCCAATCATGCGTGGAAGAATAAAGAGTCATGCATTAAATCCGAGAAAGTTATTAAGATAATAGATTGTTGGATTGAAATATGTCTATCAAAAATAAATTTTTCAGATTTAAAAATATACCTATCACAGAGAGTATTAATTTAGTTTTAAAGTTACTTTAGTTTATAATTAATTAATCATGTGTTAATTTATCGTTTTGTTTTACGTGCTGAGAATGATGGTTTCTAACCCTCACTCACAAACTCAGTAGGAGCGGGGCACTCTGGCATTTTGGTTGGGGATGGAACTACGGTGGACAGTGCGGACCGGGGTATGAAAAAAGAAAAACGGACCTGGACTGGCATGGAACATGAACGAACATAGCATCGACCAACCAAAAGTAAGGGCATCACCAATGTATATGGTAAAAGTGATCCATATGGATAGGACCCATATAAAGAGACTTTAACTATAGCAATCTCCACCATGTATGTAGATACAAGGTAGCATTAGGAGATGAAAGAGAAATAGAGATAGTATTATTTATTTCATATAGGTAGTCCATATGCTTATGGATACCTTTTGTTATTTTCTCCATATAGACTAGTTGCACAATGGTAATAGGTAGCTGAATGGAATATAATATTATCTATGGACTACTTTTGCTTTACATTGTGGATGCCCTAATGCAAGGAGGGCAAACCTGGTTATGGAAAAACATCGACCGCGGGCCTCCATCTCGTGGTCTCGCCCCTCCCGCAAGCCATAACATAGACTCCCCGTGATCGCCACCGTAACCGTGGGCCTGTTCGGCTGTACTTAACTTTACTGTTGTGCAGCCAACACAAACAGTAAGTTGAGTCTGCAGCTGCAGCAGCAACGGCTGCGTACAGTGGCTGTACCAGCCAGCCGAACAGGCCCCGTATTATTGGAAATATCTAATTCAGCTTTAGGTTCTTACTACCTCCGTTTTTTAATAGATGACGCCGTTGACTTTTTCTTACATATTTGACCATTCGTCTTATTCAAAAATTTTATGCAAATGTATAAGATATAAATCACAATTAAAGTACTATGAGTGATAAAACAACTCATAACAAAATAAATTATAATTACATAAATTTTTTGAATAAGACGAATGGTCAAACATGTAAGAAAAAGTCAACGGCGTCATCTATTAAAAAACAGAGGGAGTATATTTTAGGACAAATACAGTAGTAAAAAAGTCAGCCCCACCATAACTAAGGTTTGTGCTCTAAGCCTCTAATGGCGTAAACTCGTGCTACCTTGGACAAAAGCCCATGTTAGTTGCTTGACGCGTTATATCTTACCGTCAAAATCACACGGAGAAGTTTCATTTATGTACTCCCTCCGCATATTATAAGTCGTTTGACTTTTTTTTCTAATCAAATTTATTTAAGTTTGATCAAGTTTATAGAAAAATATAGTAGTATTTTCAAACATATGCAATGTTAGATTTAATGAAACTAATTTACTATTTTAGATGTTGCTAAATTTTTCTATAAACTTAGTCAAACATAATAAATTTGACTAGAAAAATAACTTACAATATGAAACGGAGTGAGTAATTAGTTTTCTTGAGGGTTCCTTTGTAAAAAAAGGTTTTGAAAGGGTCATAATGTCAAAATATAACTATATAAGGAATGAACACAGGAATCTGGACATTTGAACGGTAGGAAAACGTGTGGTGAGTGGTGACCGACTCGGGAAGTCGCGACGAATTGTCGAGGATGCAGAGATGGGGTGAACCATCATGAACCCCAGGCCGAAGTACTTGAGCTGCCCGTCATTCTGCAGTGCCCCAAAGGGCACGTCTTGACTCTTGACTACTGAGTCAATGATATACTGCAAAGTGGGGTCGGCGTTCGTTTTTCCAATGAAACCTTGATTTTGAGAACGTGAACATGAGCGATAGATTGAGGGCTCGTTTAGTTCCCTAAAATTTTTTCCCAAAAACATCACATCGAATCTTTGAACACATATATAAAGCATTAAATATAGATAAAAAGAAAAACTAATTGCACAGTTATGGAGGAAATTGCGAGACAAATCTTTTAAGCTTAATTAGTCCATGATTAGCCATAAGTACTATAGTAACCCACATGTGCTAATGACGGCTTAATTAGTCTCAAAAGATTCGTCACGCGGTTTCTAGGCGAGTTCTGAAATTAGTTTTTTCATTCGTGTCCGAAAACCTCTTCCGACATCTGGTCAAACGTTCGATGTGACACCCAAAAATTTCCTTTTCCCCAACTAACCACACCCTGAACACCCACCCAATCTTAATTTGACACAACAACACTTTCCGTAAGGACCAACGGAACAGAGCAACTAGAACACGTAGTTGTCTATTTGTTAGGCAAACGACTTAGAACATATATTCTTTCATCCAGATGATTAGGACTCGTAAAAATATCTGACGTGATTAGGCCGGGACAGATTCGAACATGCTGTCTTCAGGTCATGAACATGATGAGTTGACCAATTTCTCTACCCCGCTTTTTCCTCTAATCTTTCTTTTGCACGAGATAGAACCCGCGTTTAGGTTCCTTGCAGCTAGGCGCAGAGGTTGGAGCTCCTGACGACTGGTATGAACTTGCTGAAAGCACAAGTATAGAAGCGAAAGAAGAAGCGAGGGGATTCTAAGTGAAAGAAGAAGGGATGAGCGCTTTATTGCTAAAGCGCATACGTTTTCTTGTTTGATTTTCATACAATTTTCTGAAGTGATCTGTATGACTAAGTAGAAAGGGACAAAAGAGTGTGGCTGTAATCTGCATGGGGATGCCTGACGCGTCAACTTTAGTTTGACAAGTAGGTCCTGTTTTTTTCTTCAACAAGAGATGGATGAAAGTTAAGATTTTCGTGGCACGCTTTTCAAACTGTTAAATGGTGAATGGTGTGTTGGCGAACCCAGAATAAAAATTATCGGTGTCCAATACATACTAATTATCTAATTATTGACTAATATACTAATCAACATGGTATAATTAGCTTAGATTGAATAATTATTGACTAATATACTAATTAGCATGGTATACATAGCTTAGATTGGTACTTCACTTCTTCTCAACCAATCACAATCTCCCCTATTTAATTATATATACTTTTTCAATAATCATGCTCAGCTCTAAAACTTTTTATACCATGAGGACAGAGGTAATATTTGCATTTGTATCTGACTGTGTTTTGGTAGATGCTACTCTCTTCGTCAAAAAAAAAAAAGCCAACCTTGATATGGATGTGACACTTCCTAGAATAACGAATCTGTATATAAAGTATGTCTGGATTCGTTGTCCTAGGAAGTGTCCCACCTATATTAAGGTTGGCTTTTTTTTTCGACGTAAAGAGTACGAGGTAACACGCGGTAACTCGGTTAATTTGGCCGACCACTTCCATATTCCATATTGCTCAGGTCTTGTCCCAAGGAATGAAAGCAATCACCCAGCATTCAGTAACGTCAGGAGTGAGCTAACTTACCGGACGGCGGCTGCCATGTCAAGAGGAATCCATCACTGATCAGTTCCTCATAGCTGCTCGCATTCGCCTCACCAGATGATGTCCCCAGCACCGGCACGAGGGTGGCGCCGCATCCCTCCACCGAGTACTCCTCATAGCTGCCAGAATCGCTGTAATGCCCTCCGACGCGAACAAGCGTGCCACCGCCGCTGCATTTCGTCTCCACAAGCCCGCCGTCTCGCCGCACCGCCGCCGCCGCCGTCTCCGCCGTGCAGTTGTAGAAGATGAGGTTCAGGTTGGCGGAGCTGACCGAGAAAGGTTGCCCGACCTTGGAGGAGGTGTTGGCTGTCATGACATGGCAGCCCTTGGAGCTGGAGTTCCGGAAGTCGTCGAGCTTGTGGACGTCGGCGACGAGCAGGGAGCTGTTGCCGTAGAAGATGTCGAGCACCTGGAACCGGTACTTCCGCCGGTAGTAGCCGAGGTATGGGGTGTTGTTGCTGCAGTGAACCTCGAAGCCCAGCCGGCCGCATTTCGTGTCCGTCTCCTGCTCCGGGACGAACCCGAACGGGTGTGAGATTGTCACGTTGCCGCATGTCCTCGGCGAGCATGATCCGCCGCCTTGCTCGTCTGCTGAAATAGCTGCTGCTACCAGGGTGAGGGATGAGAACAGCAGCAGCAAGCTGGCTGGGGACATGGAGGATGCAGGCATGCAGCTAGGTGATGAGCTGCGTGGAGCACAGAGATGAATACAATCAGGCAAAAAAAAAAACTGAATAGAAAACAATCAGGCAAAATGGTCTCAACAACATTGGCCATTCATTCAGTGTCGCAGTGCCCGAAGGGCAAGTCTTGAGTCTTGACCATCCAGGTTCGATGTAACTGAAGAAGTAGGTTGTCAAAAAGGACATGATTATGCCGTCCAGCTTACTCCAGTCTCTGTAACTGTCAACAGCTCGTACCATGTTGGATTGGTGTTTGGATGTCTTCAGAATAATCGTTGTAGGCCTTGTTTAGATAAAAAAAATTAATCAAAAACATTACACAATTTACATGTAAATTACGAGACGAATCTTTTGAGCCTAATTACGTCATGATTTAACAATGTGATGCTACAGTATATATTTGCTAATGACGGATTAATTAAGCTTAATAAATTCGTCTCACAGTTTACAGGCGGAATCTGTAATTTGTTTTATTATTAGTCTACGTTTAATATTTTAAATGTAATTTGTTTTATTATTAGTCTACGTTTAATATTTTAAATGTGTCCGTATACTTCAAAGCCTTTACATCTAAAGCACTAAACATACCCATAGTAATTTTTTGACTTTTTTTTTACACTGCACTCGTTCAAGTCTTCTGCACAAGGATTTTTATTATTTTATTAATATTTTTATTTTTATTTTTAAAACGGACCCCTCCCAAGACTTATTTTTAAGAGATAATTTATTATATGCCACTGACTTTGTCGCACGTCTACGATTTGCCACTGACTTTGTCACGTTCTACAATATGCCATCGACTTTTGCTTAACTTCTACGATTTACCATCACCGTCCGGTTAGCCACCGTTAGTACTGTACAAATTTGTCGAAATGACCAAAATACCCCTATGACAAAAACTTCCAAAATTTGGATAAAATTATCAAAATATTATATTATAAACATAAGATTGTAAACATCCAAAATTTGACCAAAAACTTGAAATATGATATTTCATAATTTTTATCCAAATTTTGAAACCTTTTCTCCCAGGGGTATTTTGGTCATTTCGACAAATTTGTACAATACTAACGGAGACTAACCGGACGGCGATGGTAAATTGTAGAAGTTAAGCAAAAGTCGATGGCATATTGTAGAACATGATAAAGTCAGTGGCAAATCGTAGACGTATGATAAAGTCAGTGGTATATAATGGATTCTCTCTATTTTTAAAATATGTTAACGGCATCATGTGGCGTGACAGTTTTTTCTGACGCCGCCAATTAGACTGGCGTGGTGCTTCAAATTTAGAATCAACTTTTTTTTTTGGGGGGGGGGGGCTGTGGCAATTGATTATTTGTCACTCGCTGTCTATGATATGTGGGCTCTCATGTGTATATGACATGTGGGTCTAGTGGCAAATAGTTAATTATTCTTTTTAGAGAGTTTTTTTAAAATTAAAAATGTCTAAAACTAGAAAAAAAATCTCTGCATAGCGTCTTCTCTTCCATCTCAGTTTGGTGTTTGGGCCCGTCATTACAGGTTATCCACGGCCCATGGGCCCGTATCATGTCATGCTACTCTTCGGGGCCTCAACTCTCTCTCTCTCTCTCTCGCTCCACTCCCCTCGAGCCGCCGCCACAGCCCCGGCCGCCGGCCGCCGCCGTGACGGCTCGGCGGTGGTAGTGCGGCAACCGGCAGGACCAATCCTGAGCGGATTCCAGCGCTATGCCATCGGAGTGCGCGGCGGAAACTGGTCAAGTCAACCGCACTGGGGTGGCGGCGATGCGGTCGTGCCTTGGGCAAGGGAACTGCCGTGGCCGGCGGGGCGGGGGAACTGGACGAGCATTGGCATCCACCCAGGCAGGCAGGCAGGGGTGCTGATGAAAGCGCGTGTTCCTCCGACGGCTTTGCAGATTAGCCCACTACCAGTAAGTTCTGCATCTTTATCATGCCATGAATTCCCTGTTCCTTTTTTAAGCAAACTCTTCTTTGTTTTTTTTTTTGTCCTCTAAGATAGTTGCATTGACTGCTAAACATTTTGTAAAATTAGTTCCTTATAGAAATTGCATGTGAAGTTCGTTTGGCCAATTGTATCTGACGATGTCGAGATAGTGAAGTATCTGAACTCTGATAATTCTTCAGTATAACGCCTTTATGTGCTAGTCATGATTCATAACCGTGAATCCGTACTTACATCCTTAGATTTTCAAATAGAATGTATATATACATTGATGTTAATATGGTACTAACAATGAAAATAATTACAAGTGCTCAGCTAAAAAACAAGAACTACAAATATAGTAGCATAATGCAGCATATCAACATATCATGATGATGCAGACATCGTAAAATTGACTGATTTATAAGACGAAACATTCGTTGAGTGGATGGGGGAGCAGAGGAATGGTTTGGGCGGCATTTCTAGTTCACTGATACTCCTTTCCAACATCTCTATGACCCTGCTCATCGAAGGACGAGTTTCAGGTGTCATTTGTATGCACCACAGTCCAACTATGGTCATCTTTCTTGCAATCTCTTCGGTTCCATATGCCGTTTCACAACATTGCATCTCACTCACCAGACTGTCATAAACCCAATGTGGGAAAAATGTTTCACTGAAATTATCTGCAATTCCTTTTATGTTTTTTCTTACTTTGACTATTTCCAAAAGCAGCATCCCGTAGCTATAGACATCTGATTTGGTTGACACAACTCCGAATCCTCTGGAGAATACTTCTGGAGCAATAAAACCAATGGTTCCTCTCGCTTCCGCCATCGAAAGGATGCTCTCGTTGAGGTGGCATAGCTTGGCTAATCCAAAATCTGCAATTTTTGGACAAAACTCATGATCAAGAAGGATGTTGCGAGGCTTGATATCGAAATGGATGATGCGGGTGTTGCAGCCCTGGTGCAGATACTCCAGTCCTCGTGCGATGCCGATCACAATTTTTAGCAGCATCTCCCATCCTGTAGCTAGATTTGAACTTTCTGAATGAATGTAATTCTTCAAAGAACCATTAGGCATGTACTCGTAGACAAGCGCTCGCTTTGGTCCCTCTAAACAAAAACCGAGTAGAGTGACAATGTTAACATGAGATGTCCGACTGATGCTCATAACTTCATTTAGGAAATCCTCTCCATTGCCTTTTGATACTGTCAAGATCTTCACTGCAACCATTCTGCCATTTTGTAGTCTTCCCTTGAATACTACACCATAGCCACCTTCTCCTAAATTATCTTCAAATGATTTAGTTATTTTCTTCAACTCTGAGTACTTGTACCTTTTGAGAGCAAGAGATTCACATTTTTTCAACATTTCTTCTTCATTTTTCGTATTGCCAGAGTAAACTCCGCAGATTGCTGATCTGAACTTTTGCCTCTGACGGTACATCAGCCAAGCAAGAAAGGCGAAAACCAAGCCAGCCGCAGCAGACAGAGATACTGAAAGTAAAGAAGAGGTACAGGTAAGCAACTTAAACTTCTGGTTAATGCATTCTGTTCTACAATTTAACCAGGTTACAAATGAAGCAGAATGTTTACCTATCAAAGCCAACTTGCCCCTGTTCTTACCATCTGCATGACAAAAAGATTATAAAACACACACACACACACACACACACACAGCATATGTCACTAGCTAGTTCTGAAAGAAAAACAGAAATCTGAATATATGCAGCTTCACAAGACTATCATTTCTGCATGCTTAGCTCACCGCAAATCGATGGTCTCATGCCACCATCCGAGCAAAGGCATGCGAACGCCGATGTGCTGGCATCGTACCGGCACCTCCCGCCGCTCGCTGTGCAGGCGTTGCAGTCGCCAACAGGTTCCCACTCCAACAGAAACCCGCCCGCTATAAGCTGTCTGTAATTTGCCGCTGTCATGTCGGCGGCGTTGCTGGACCCAAGCACCAGGAACACTGAAAGCTCGCAACCACCATTGTTCACCGGTGTCTGGCCTGTGCCATAGCTTCCCCCAAGGTAGGCGTACATGCCACTACTGTTGGCTCTGCAGTTGGTCACCGGGACAGCGTCTGGCGGTGGCAGTCTCTCTCTGCACCTGGACAGCACATAGAGCTCCCGGTTGCTCTGGCTGATACTGAACCTGTCAGTGATCGCGAAGGCGGAGGACACGTTGAACATGACGGTGCACGCAGCATCGGCAGCGAGGAGGGCGTGCACGGCCACGAGGGAGCGGCGGCCATAATCGAAGCCGAGGACCTTGATGTAGGAGTTTCTTAGGAAGGGACCTGATGCTCTGTCATTGCACGTGAGCTGGAACGACGGTGGGCCGCAAGACGACTGGTTCTGGCTGCCCAGCCAGAATGGGTAGGTGATAGTCAGGTTCCCGCATGTCGCCGGTGGGCAGCTTGGGTCCACGGTGGCGCCATTGGCAGCGCCTGGTAGTAGCTGCAAAGAGGCCAAGATTGGCAACAGGAGCAACTTGGTATGCATTGCAAAATGTTGGATTCTTTTTTTCTTCTGTGCAATTGACGCTTCTTGTAAAAATCTGAGACAAGAAAGTGAATTGGTTCTGCTTGAAAGTTAAGGTTAGCAATTTATGTGATGCTGTTTGGACTTGTCTTGCCGCATGCGCATTGGACTCTAGCATTTGATGACAAATACGTCGTTAACATGTTTGTTTCTAACACGGGAATAGCTGAGCAAGGTTTTCATACAGTGAGACGTCATGTGAGACTGTTCTTGCCTAAGATACAGATACTAGTGTTGCCACATCTTCGGAATCCTGAATTTACTGTCCTACTGTGCTTCTAGTTGTTTTAGACCTTTATATATAGCATACTTCATGTAATCCACACTAGAATAGTTGGTGCACCTTTTTTTTTTCCTTATAATGGTTCTGTACCATAAAAATCTGCATGTTTAGTTCTTGAAAAAGCTTTGTTGTTTACCTGTCGTTTTCTAACAATTCAAGCCTGCTCTAGATGTAGTTTAATGGTAAGAGTCTACCAAGTTCAAAGATGAACCTTTTGCTATGTTGAAATATTTTCCGTTTCCACCTTTCATCAATAACAATCTTTTAGCTGAAATGGTTGGTGGCCAACTCAATACTCTGTGACACTACTTGCCTGTATTTTCAGTGGCAATCTGTCTTCCTTTCCAGACTTGCAACCGTAGTGTGCCCTATTGCTGCATAGTTTTTATCCTATTTGCTTGGCAAATATTTATGTAATTAACAAGTGTACTTCCTTTTTTAGCTTATGTAGGCCTTCTTACGTGTCACTCTCCTGTAAGAGCTCAATAAGAAAATACAGGTATTTATTTAATTTACTACACTGCCTAGCAGGTCAACGCGTATACCTTTCATGAAAGAAAGCCAGAGCCGGAAGGTGACCTCATATGCAAGTTACTTCCTAAATGCCAGTTTTCTCTGTAACGAAGCTCGATTTTCCACAGGTAAACAAAAAGTCGATCCAACACTATTGTATTATTTCCATGTAGCAGTTAGGATAATGCACGCTTGCAGAGATCACGGCGAAGAGATTTTTCGCTGGAGCGGATGGAGCCATGCGAATGGATGGACAAGGACTTCGATGCCATGGCGCCGTCGTAGCTACGGAAGAAGTGATGGAGACTGCATCCTCCGACGTAAGCTTCGCGTACATAGTTTTCAGCCTCTGAACCTTTTTCAGTTTCAGATAGCCATTTTATCTGCAGAAAGAGAAATTCCGGTGCATCATTTTTCTCTGTTGACGCCGACGACACCAAAGTCTCCAGACTAGTTTGATGAGAACACAATAGTTGTGCCTTGTGAGCATCTTCAGTTTTTCACAATGATTAGTTTCGAAGCAGTACCTTGCTTTAGCAAAAGGGCCAGCAAAAGGATATGATCGAAAACTTTTAGGTCTAATTTACTGGTAGCAGCATAGAATTTTCATCAATCATATTCAAATACTCATCCATTCAAAAAGTGGTCACATATACAGCCTGTGTGTTGAATGCTGAAATGGAAACCAGAAGACCAAGAATTGATGCCGTGGAACTTGCGTCGGACTTTCTCTTGGAGCTTGGAGTGCCTGGCTAGAATTTGTCGAGCCATGTTCTAAGGGTCGGTCAATGATAATATGGTCCATTAACTTCTACCTTTACCTATCGTTTCAGGCAAACTCACCACAGAGGATGGAGAGAGCTAGCTTAGGTGCGAACAAAAACAGGGAGCGAATGAATTCACGGTCAAAGTATATGGCCGCGAGTTGTGACCGAAGCAGCAGCAGCGGTGGTTCGCTCTCTTCATCTCTCCAAAGTCCACTCCACCCTCCGCTTGCACGGATGCAAACAAGAATCTGCCGGCAACCTTAACCACCCTCTCCTTCCTTGTTGTCTCGTTGATATCTTCTTTCTCTCCTCCGATGCGATGCATCCTGCTTTGCTACTGCTCCCCCTCGCCTCCTTGCTGCATGCCGCGGCAGCAATTGGCCACAACGAGACCAGCACCAGTGGCAACACAAGCTGCACGCCGGCGAGATGCGGGAACCTGACCATCAGTTACCCCTTCTCGCTCAGCGGCGTGCAGCCGGTGTCCTGCGGCTACCCGGTGTTGGACCTCACCTGCGACAACCGAACCGGCCGCGCGTTCCTCAGCAGGACGTTCAGGGACCACCTGTTTCGCGTGGACAGTATTTTCTACGAGAATAACTCGCTGGTGGCGGCCGTAGAGACCACCTTCGCCGGCGACGCCGACTGCCCCGTCCCGGATTTCAACGTGACATCCAGCCTCAGTCCCTACCCGTTCATCATCAGCAACACCAACAAGTATCTCGCATTCATCTATGACTGCTCGATTCCTGAACACGTTGGGCAGCTGCAACGGCCATGTGGAAACCGGACGATGGGAGCTTACATCTCCGACAAGTGGAACAGCACACCACCGTCCGGGGTTCGAGGGAACTGCAACTCTGTCAGCGTGCCGGTGCGTGGGTACTATGATGGAATGAAGCCGGTGAGTGGACACTACGAGCAATTGATCAAAGATGGGTTCGTCTTGGAATGGATGAGGTCGGTAATGGGAGATCAAGACTGCGATGGGTGCAGAAGGAGAGGCGGGGAGTGCAGGTTCGAACAGCTTTCGTTCCAGTGCTTCTGCCCCGACGGGTTGCTCTGCTCCAATTCAACCCGTACCAACACAACGTCAAGCCATCCATCAGGTAAGGAGCGTTTGCTACCTTTGCAAAAAATTTTTTTGAAGAAATACTTTTGCATTGGCGTGAGAATGAATACATTATGCATATTACACGCATTGAGATACATGTTCCTACTTATCACTTAGGTTGTGCTTTTTGTATGCAAACCTTGAGGGAAAAAGTTCGTATAAGAATTCCAAACAAGCTTAGGAAACTGCGAGTCTGCAAATTTTGTTGGTCATTATTTCTTAGAGCTAAGAGATTGCTGGCTATTCGTTTTTCATAAAGAGTAGAGATAATAGAAATTCAAAGGCTGCTAACATTAAGACGCCACCTCTGGTCTGAAACTATGAATGGCACTTCCCCTTGACTATAATATAACAATGCACTTTCATCATTTGAAATGGTCAATTCGTGTATTTGATTTCTTTTAACTTCCTTTCGTTTTGTTTTTGACTGAAACTTCCCTTGAATTGCTTCGGTTTCATCTTTGATGGCAAACTGTTTCATTGAACCTCTTTCTTTCGTTCTCCTATAGCACCTACTGCACTGTTCAAAACAAACGTTAGCAGTGGAATCAACAAAAAGGCAGAGGGTAGCAGTTAGTCGCTCTATCAAGTTGAGCAGTCAGTTGTGACAGCATATCGTTTTCATATATGTCTGTGCAAACCTTGTGTCAACTGCCAAGTACTACTTCAGTTCATCAAAATGTGCGATGTGTCATGTCATCCACATCGGATTGTAGCATATGCATGCATCTATAAGAGTTACATTTGTCGATAAATGATGCCTTTGATGTTAGGGAATAGAGTAAATTAATCAGCTGAAAGGGGCTGGCACATGAACTAAGACCCGGCAAGGAACAAATGAAATCCAGGGGAAAGGTGAAAGGGACTAGGACGACCTAGAAGTCTTCTTTGTTTAAAAGAAGAAAATGATGTGTGTTAGTCCTGTAATGTTCATACTGTTGTTACTGTGAAACTTTATGCTTTCATTAGTTCGGTTAATCCATATCATAAGATAGATTATGCTAATTATTACCTAACCAATCTTTTGGGCCCATCTATAATCATTTTTTTAAACCATTAGATCTATCTGCTCACATGTTTACTTCTTTAGGGGTAAAACAAAAATTGTTATAGCTCAAAATAAAATGAAAAGGGTCCATTTTACTCCCTACGGATTATTTCATTAGTTCACTTAACCCTCTAAATTATTTTTTTGACTCATTTTACACCAATGGCGGAGCTAGGTTCTCAACCCAGTGGGGGTCAAAATGCATAAATATATAACAATGTGGGGGGTCAATCTATACAAATTTTCATTGTTTCATGTACTTTTCACTATTTTTCATATTATCAATATATATCTTGCAAATACCTGTGGGGTCAGCTGACCCCACAGTTTTAACATGGCTCAGCCACTGTTTTACACCCCAAATTATTGAAAACAGATCATCTTGCTCTCTAATGGTATTTCTCTTCTCTGTTTCTCTCCAAATAAATTGTATTTTGCAATGAAATTTGGAAGGACTGATAGATATATCATAACCTATCTCCCAACATTTTTTAGAATTTCTTTTATCATTGTATACATATATTTAAAGCACTAGGCTTGATTTAAACATCGAGGTTTTAAATTTTAAACAGATAGTCATGATTTTTTTTTGAAAGTATTTTTGAAACTTTGATAATGGTGTTATCTATGGCTCTATAAAATTTCAGATTAAAGTACAACTCGTATAAAGAGAAATGCTATTAATAGTTTAAGGGGTAAAATGAGTTAAAAATAGTTTTGTGGGTTAAGTGAACCAATGAAATAGTTAGGGGAGTAAAATAGAGCTTTTTCTACGAATTTTAAAGTACAAAACAAGCAAACTCTAATCTAGACGAGCACAAAAAGAAAATATCCAGATAAACTAATACAAAATTATAATTAAAAAAACTAAATGTTGCGATAAAGCTTTACTAAAGTGGCACTATAAATACAAGCTTTAAATAGTCAATATTTTTAGTTAGTGATAAGATACACCATCTGGTTACTAATTTGTCATTTCTGGTTTCTTCGTCATGGGCAAATTTTATGGTCTGTTTGGTTTGATGTCCACTACCAAAACTTTGGCGGGTAGAGTTGAAAAGGTACAAGATAAAGCCAATAATGTCCTATAAGAAACAATTTGTGTGCAACCTCAATTTTTTTTATAAAGTATAAATTTTAGTAGGGTAGCAAACCAAGCTATAGCCCCCTTTATTTGTTCCCTCTCATAATATGCTAATTCTCCTCCTCTGCGCTCTTTACATGCAGGCAAGGTTAATCGAGGAATCAAGATTGCCGCAGGTAATGCTGATTTCAATTAAACATTTACCAAGATAGGCTAGTATGGTAATCCCTCCGTTTCAAAATGTTTGACACCGTTGACTTTTTAGCACATGTTTGACCGTTCGTTTTATTCAAAAAATTTGTGAAATATGTAAAACTATATGTGTACATGAAAGTATATTTAACAATGAATCAAATGATTTGAAAAGAACAAATAATTACTTAAATTTTTTGAATAAGACAAATAGTCAAACACGTACTAAAAAGTCAACGGTGTCAAACATTTTGAAAAAGAGGGAGTATATGACATCTCCTGATCTGTTCTTGTGATTCAACCACTGTCACAACCAGGAACCGCAGCGGCTGTTGTATGTCTCGGTATACTTGGCGTTGGCTCCACTGTGTTGTATACCCGGAGGAAGAGGAAAAGATCTGCATCCTTTGAAGGTCTCATCCATGGAGGGACGCCATTGCCATCACTCACGAAAGAATTCAGCCTCGCCGGCTTGGCATATACCCACATCTTCACCTACGAGGAGCTCGACGAGGCTACCGACGGCTTCAGCGACGCCCGGGAGCTCGGCGTCGGCGGCTTCGGCACAGTGTACAAAGGTACAAGATCATACACAAAGCCAGTGTCCCATTGTCCATGTCGGACTTGATCAGTTGAGAGTAAAACATTGACATGTCTTGTTACAGGGATACTCCGGAATGGGGACACGGTGGCGGTGAAGCGGCTGTACAAGAACAGCTACAAGAGCGTGGAGCAATTCCAGAACGAGGTGGGCATCCTGTCGCGGCTGCGCCACCCAAACCTCGTCACGCTCTTCGGCTGCACGTCGCAGACCAACAGCCGCGACCTGCTCCTCGTCTACGAGTTCGTCCCCAACGGCACGCTCGCCGACCACCTGCACGGCGGCGCGGCGGCGCGGTCGTCCTCCCTCGACTGGCCGACGCGGCTCGGCATCGCCGTCGAGACGGCCAGCGCGCTGGAGTACCTCCACACGGTGGAGCCGCAGGTGGTGCACCGCGACGTGAAGACGAACAACATCCTCCTCGACGAAGGGTTCCACGTGAAGGTGGCCGACTTCGGCCTCTCCCGGCTGTTCCCGGCGGACGCCACGCACGTGTCCACGGCGCCGCAGGGCACGCCGGGGTACCTCGACCCGATGTACCACCAGTGCTACCAGCTGACGGACAAGAGCGACGTGTACAGCTTCGGCGTGGTGCTCGTCGAGCTCATCTCCTCCAAGCCGGCGGTGGACATGAACCGGCGCGGCGGCGACGTCAACCTGGCCAACATGGCCGTGCACATGATCCAGAGCTACGAGATGGAGCAGCTGGTGGACCCGCAGCTCGGGTACGCGTCGGACGGCGAGACGAGGAGGACGGTCGATCTCGTCGCCGAGGTGGCGTTCCGGTGCTTGCAGCCGGAGCAGGACGTGAGGCCGCCGATCGGTGAGGTGTTGGACGCGCTGAGAGAAGCTCAGCGGATGGACAAGGTAGGCTACGTCAAGGACGACGCCGGGCTGGTCAAGAAGAGCCGAGACGGCTCTCCGGACTGCGTCATGTACCAGTGGATTAGCCCATCCACCACTTCCAATAACAGCAGCTGAGACTTGACAAGATGTTCAGAAAATACTGGCTACTGACTGCAGACACCGTAAATATTCAGAGTTGTGTGCTATTGTTTGTCAGAGAAAGAGAGGTTTCCCATGAAAAGAAAAAAGACATAGAGGTTTATGTGTCTTTGGCTGTAACTGAGTTAACTTGTTGGCCAGTGGTTTGGCTACTTTGGCACATTCAGAAAAGCAGTTTGATGATCTGTTAGAGAAGTTAAAATTTGCCTACGTGTAACATATTCAGTCACAAAACAAGTTTTTTGTGCATGCCCCTGACAGAATTCTGTAACTAGTAACAACCTTCACGGTTCACACATCTTGCATGAACCGTCATTCACGTAAGGATAACTCACGCAAAATTGAAATGTGCAATTGTGCGTGGTTTCACCAACTGAAGATTCTCACCAAAGTCGTGCAGCAGAGTGTGCAATCTCGCAGAATGCAACAATGCCAACATCAAGCTCTCCTCTTTGGCTCTTGCTGTTCCTAAGCAACCTCATCACCACCCATGAAGCCGCAGAGATCATCCCGAACGCCACCACGCCGTCGTGCCCGTCGTACCGGTGCGGCCACGCCGTCGACATCCGGTACCCGTTCTGGATCGACGACAACACGAGCGGCGGCGGCGCCTACTACTGCGGGTACCCGAGCCTGCGCCTGGAGTGCCGCCGCGACACGCCGGTGCTGGCGCTCCCGTCGGGGGAGTACGCCGTGACGCACATCCTGTACGGCGACAGGACGGTGTCCCTGTTCGACCTCGGGGTGTTCTCCCGGTCGAACACCTGCCCGCTCGTCGGCCGCAACCTGTCCCTCCCGGCGGGGTCGCCGCTGTCGCTGACGGACAGGGACGCCAACCTCACCTTCTTCATCCACTGCTCCTTCATGGGCATGCCGGCCCACCTCGTCGCCTGCCTCGAGGGCGACGGCCGCCACCACTCCTACGTCTTCCGCGACGGCGACGACCGCACGCCGTACGGGTACGCGGCGCTGTGCCAGGACGTCGTCGGCATGCCGGTGCTCAGGCGGTCCCTCCTCGGAGGGAATTACAGCAGCCCGCTCGACGCCGCCGTCGTGCCGGCGCTCAACATGGGGTTCGAGCTCGGCTGGAGGCCACTGGAGGACGGCGAGTGCGGCGACTGCGAGAAGGCCGGCGGCTGGTGCGGCCACCGCCGGCGCGCGGCGCACGAGCCCTGGACCTTCGCGTGCTTCCGGACCGTGACAATCACCGCGCGGGCTGATACGAAATCTCCAGGTACGCCCACTCGAGTACACGTATACATTGTTTGTTCCGTTTCGTGATGTTTTGGGCCGGCCCAAGAAAGGCCAGGGTTTTTCCCAGCCCAATAATGATAAATCCCGTGACGTAGTATACGCCTCTGTCGCCCAACCTTTATTACGAAATTTCACGCGTAAAGTGACGCGATCAGGCGACCAGGTACAATTAACCATAACCTAATTTGGATAAGCCGACATGGATCGGTAAAACTTATTCTGGACGGACTGGATTGGTTGGAAGAAGAAAAATAGTACGCGTCGTACCGTCGTTTCTACCGATGTGCGCTTCTCTCGTGGAGTAGTGCGCTCAACCCAAATCACAACGCGGATGTGCAGAAACTTAGCAGCCAAGTACGTACTACTACGCGGTCTCATACTCTCTCAAAGAAAAAAAAAAGGACACTGTTCAGAATGCGTAACAAAAATCCACACGCACATACTACGTAGTAACACGTAGAATAATCCAGCTGAGAGTTCTTGAGACCATATTTTCTCCAGCGACGTGAGACTGCTAGTCTGCTACTGCTCAGTCATCATCGTTTCAGTTAGAACGAATTGAAGGACCGTTATTTTTCTCGCGTCGGATGGGTTACCCCCGAATTTTCCAAAACCAAGTCTGAATCGAATAGGTCTCCACCGTGGGTAGTCCTAATCCTCTGCGGTCACTGGAAGGTGGGCCCGATTTAGCGAGGACCCCACATGTTGGTGAGCTGCCACTGTGCCACTGGGCGGCACTCGCTGATGTCCACATCAGTGACCAATAAGCAGCATCAGCTACCGGAGAAGAATGGTCCAACAAGGAGACTGAGGAATGGTCAACACATTCGGCAAGCAACATGTTTCGCGCTGCCTGCCTGACCAATCCGTTATCTTCTTCCCCGATGCATGCATCATCATTTCCTCGCCTTCTTCGTCTCGCCCAAATCTGCTGCGTGATCGATCGCTTCCACTGCAGCATGCATCCGTTTCGTGCTCCTGCAACTGCCATGATCTGTTTAGCCATGCTACTGCTGATCACTCTCCCAATAGCTAGCTCCACCGTTGATGCCATAAACACGACCAACACCACATCGCCGTTCTGCGAGCCGGCGAGGTGCGGGAACCTTACCATCGGCTATCCATTCTGGCTCGCCGGCAAGCATCCGCCGGAGTGTGGCTACCGAACTTTTCAGGTCACGTGCGACCATAGAAATGCTTCCCTCAAGAACGGCATCTGGACGTACCAAATCCAGCGCATCTTCTACCACAACAGCTCCTTCATGGTCACCAACGAGCAGCTGACGGACGGCCAGTGCGTCATCGAGAGTTTTGTCAACGCCTCCTCCGACCTCGGCCTCACGCAGTTCAAGATTAGCCCCATAAACCGGGAGCTCGTCTTCCTCTACAACTGCAGCCAGAGTCGACGGCAGCTTCCAATCTCTTGGGCGCCCGTGAGTTGTGCGAAAAATGAATCGTCCAACTCGTATGCCTGGCTTGCGGGGAAGTACAAGCCTGATGACGATTTCAGACAACTGCCGGGGAACTGCACGGTGTCAATGATCCCGGTGCTGGGGTACGACGGTGCGGTGGCGAAGAACTACGAGCGGCTCATCAAGGGTGGATTTCTTCTCGACTACACGGCCGCGGCGGGGCCGGACGATTGCGAAGATTGCTCGAGGAGCGGCGGCTGGTGTCGGGTGAATGTCACCTACGATGGGCTAGAGTGCCAATGCCCCGAAGGCCTGACGTCCTCCGGATTCACGTGTGGTAAGTTCGTTTCCGCTTACGATCCCATTTCTTCCCCGTTCCGTTTTTTTTTTCATCAGCATTCCCTTCGTTTCTGTTTTGCGGTGATTTCGATTCGCTAGCCCTAACGAGATGGAATGATAGATGATCATATCGACAAATCGTACCCTTGTTGGGAGAAAAATGGTTGTTCACGGGCATGATTTACCAACCCAATTAGCTGACCATCTACAGTTACATAGGCTATCCAAAACGAACAAAACATCGACTTGGCCAGCGAATCATGTTAGAAAACGATATGCAAATAAACGATAAAAAATAATATATCAATCACAGAAGACACGAGATTTAACGTGGAAAACCCTTCACTATATCGGGGTGAGAAAAAAACCACGGACGCCAGCCAACAAAATATCTTCACTATATCGGGGTGAGGTTACAGCGCTGCACGGCAGCTTACAAGAGGTATATATATGAAGTGGAACCCTAAAAGGGATGACGATTCGTACCGCGGGGACTCCGCCCCCGCACCCCTAGGCGTCCCCAGGTGCACAACCCAATGGGTCAGTTTGGTCTTTATTAAGTGCAAATGAATTTGGATCACAACTCAACAAATGATGTACAGAGAGAAAGAAAGAGCATCGTTTTTCACGCACAAGTTTCCCGAACTATTAGACGTTGTGTTTTTTAAAAAAAGCTTTATATAGAAAAGTTGTTTTAAAAAACATATTAATAGATTTTTCAAGTTTAAAATAAGCATATTTAATTAATTATGTATTAATAGTTTACCTCGTAGTTTTACTTATCTTCTCATTTTTCTCTATCTCTCTTCTCAATCACAGTTGGTACACTTAGCTCAATCAATATTATCGGTGGTGATGCATTGGTTAGTGTTCAGGAAAAGCTATCCTTGTTCTCGGAACCTAACTCTGTTTTCTGAATAAGTGAATAATAACCACGTGCAATTCTACAGTCAATGGGGAAGCATTATTATGAATTAAATTTAAAAATATACTATTTATTTAATTTATTTTTAAAAATATTCGGGATGTAAATTTTATTGTAGAAATATACCATCGATCTCGCTCTACCGTTGAGCGAAAATGACGCAGAGGTGACGTTGAGGACGGTATCGCGCGGAGAAAGCGTGAGACCCCGCGGACTCGTGCTGCTAGGGCGCGAGACCGTGCGGTCTCGCGCGGTGACGGCGCAAGAGCGCGGTAAGGACGAGCGGTCTCGCTCAAGCAGAGAGCGACACCATCCTAAACTACATTAGGTTAGTGACTAATGACCTAATTAATTATTTAACTAATAATAATTAGCGATTAATTAATAATTAATTAACCATTAATCATGGTAATTAATCACTAATTAACCATTTTGAAATCTTGTATCGCTGATTGGTTAAGCGAGACCGGACGGTCTCGCTCTTCCATTTCGCGAGACCGCGCGGTCTCGCTTTTTCCCAGCGCGATACCGCCTATGATGTCACGTCCACGTCACTTTCGCGCAACGGTTGTGCGAGATCGACGGTATATTTTTGTAAAAAGTTTTGAATTCCGAATATTTCTAAAAATAAAATGAATGAACAGTATATTTCTAAATTTAATTCGCATTATTATAGTGTTCACCTTTATGTCATCCATCAACGTGGTAGAACTCAATTTGAGATGCTAAAATTCTGGAGGGACGTTAGAGTACTCATTAGCCAAATGATTTTATCAGCTATACTTTTTTTATCGAGAAAAAATGTCAGTAGGACTGATGGCATTTTTTACCATTGAGGGAGTTCATGTGGCAACGTTGAGTCAATGACCAAGATTGCTATTCTTGTCTAACACTCCTAGGGGTTAAGTAGCCTAAATCATTGACACACTTTAGCCCATAAAAATTAACTATCACCATGGTTTCTATATATACCAGCACCAAACCTTTGGTTAGGACAAGAATAAATCTTGACACAAAAATGACTACAAATTAAATATGTCTCAATATTTTATTTAGTTGAAGTATTGTTAACATTTTATAATACACACATCCATAAATATGGTATAGCTTAGTTTGGTGCTAAAATTCTGGAGTGTAATATATTCATCGGATAGGTCTAATGCATGCACAGCAGTGTGTGTCAGTTGTCACCAACACAAATATATTGCTTTCGGTCCAACGAGCAATGTTTCGGCCTATAAAGAAATGTACATGAAAAGTTTATACATATTTTTTTATTCATATAGAACTTTATAAATGGAAAATTTTTGCATAGAAACATTTTGGTACCTGATTTTTTTGCAAATGAATTTGAAAAGAACTTAACATGTGTCTATAGTCCACATATAAAGAACATCACTATGGTTGTTTTATTAGTGCCCCGAACTTCATGTGGTTGGGCGCGGGCTAAAGTAAGAATATTATCACACATGTGGTTCTATATTTTATTTTACATATCATTAACATTTTATAATATGTATCCGACCAATTTAATTTTACCAACCAATAATATCCCTACAAACTAGACGGACTACAAATTAACACAATCAAAATGTTTTCTCTATCCAACAATTATATATAAAAACTCCACCTTTTTCAGCAGTTGTTCAAATCATAAGATGTTTAGTAAGTATTTTACAAGTACAATAATACTTCAAAAAGTGCTTTCACACTAGTATATTAATTTTGTACCGCCTTCGCTCCATAATAAGTGCATTTTTCAGGGTTTTAATCTCCCGCTAAACGGCCGCTATTTCCCGCTATAGCTGTTTGAGAAGGGTTCTAGCTATTTGCTCTCATGTACAATTTAGCCGTTATAGCTCCATTTAGCCCGCTATAGCTATTTGAGAAGTTAACCGCTAAATACCTTAGCCCGCTATTTAAAACATTGATTTTTAGAATTCAAACGTCTCATAAAATAGTGTTCTAGATTATTTGTTGTCTTATCAATCACATCTTGTTCGGATTTCTTCCTATTTTAACCCCAAACACCCTCAACTCCCAATCACTCCCCTATTTAGGTTGTTTTCGTTGTTGTGTGTTGGGAACACATTTCCAGCATACGGAAAATGGTGCGGTCCATTAGCACGTGATTAATTAAGTATTAACTAGTTATTTTTTTCAAAAATAGAACAATATGATTTAAGCAACTTTTTTTTAAAAAAACACGCCATTTATCAGTTTGAAAAGCATACATGTGGAACACGAAGGAGTTGAGTTGGGAAATTTGGGGAAAGAACTCAGCCTTAATGATGAACATAAAGGTCAATTTTCTTCCAGATATTTTGATTTCTAAATGCTAGAAATGCACTTATTATGGTACGCATATGTAGCAGTTATGTTGTTGATAGAATACATCATGATACTCCTAAACAAATGTTTCGAGTTTAATTTTTTAAGACTTCATAAGAAACCCTATAGAGCTAAAAAAAAAAGAAAAGGGAAAAACTCTACGGATCCTCCCACAATTACCCATTTTGCTCCTGCCAAAGCCGTCGCCAGTCGCCACCTCCATTAGTTTAATTAATTAGACCTCTGAATACTCTCTGCATTTTTTTATACATTCCCCTTGGTCGGCAAGCATCAATGTCAGCTGAGCAATGCTTGTAAAAGATGCTGGCTGAATTGATCAAAATCATTTTGTTGAAAATAAAAAGGATCAAAATTAGATTCTAATTAACAGCTGCCTGCTAACCAGTGACCACGCAGTGTGTAAATGGAACATGGTAGAAAGTGTCAGATGTCAGAAAAATCGGCACTTTTCTTGTACCGCTACCTCATCGATCATATTCATCCCTGCATTCAACTTGATTGAGACTCCAACCTTAAGATGATAAAATCCCATAAATAAACATTTATACCTCTTTTTGGGTATCGCCGGGAAGGCCGAAGGAGGCCATCCAAGTATATTAAGAAGAAATAAAGTTACAAGAAAAAACTCGACAGAGACTGTCGAGGTCGAAGGTGCATCGAAATGCACAACCAAAGCCACATGCTAATCACACAAGCACAACCCACTGAGAGAAAAACCTAGCACCGAGACGACCCCCGCTATGCGTGGCCGATCGCCGCCGGGCCAACGACAACACCACAAAGACGAGACTCTAAAAGCGATGCCCCCAAGGAGGTCACGACATCAAGGATGCCGCCATCGCCCATCTAAGGAGATGTGGTTTTCACCTAGAGAAAACTCGCCAAGGGAGAAAGGTATCCTTGCCAGCGCCCTCAAGGAGGTTACGACGCCCAAAAGCGTAGCCGCTGCCAGCCCGATGAATCATCAGGCGAGGCTTTCACCCGGAAACCTTTCAACCTTGCTTGAGGTTCGTCGCCCATCAACTCAGGAACCACCTCACAAGCAGATCAGCACGAGGCCTCCACCACACCGCGCCGGCGCCCCTCCACCGGCCGACCACCACACTTGCTGCATAGAGCTGCCGCTACCCTGGGAACTGGCCCAGACCTCCTCCGTCCCGCCACCCGCCAGCCTCCTTGCCAGCTTTGGCCGAAGGAGAACCCGGAATTGGACGGCGTCGCGTTGGCGGTCTGAGCTCCCCTCGCTAACCGGCTGCCGCCTCAATCCAACATAGAAACTCCCCACAGAGAAGGGGATGAGCTTCAGGAAGGGCGAGGGTGCAGGCCGGCAGCGAGGAAGACGACCCACTGCCGCCAGCTCCCTTAGCACTGCCATCACTCCCTTCACGCCCTGCCTCAGTGCCTACGAGCCGCCATGCCCACCCCAACGCCACCACCGCTGCACCAGAAGGCCAGACCGCCGCCGTCCGACCGCCCATGCCGCGCCGCGCCGACCACGGGCCACGATCTGGCCGCACCCTCCGGGAGGGTCGCCGCCGCCGTCCATCCGCCCAGGCCGCCGCTGGATGCAGTTGGCCCCGCCCTCCGTGAGGGCTGCTGCCGCCGCGCCGACCCCCGGCCGCCGCCCCGTGCTGGACCATGGTGTCCCACGGCCGCCCGCGCCGAGCCGCGACACGCGCGCCGCCTCTGAGCCCCGGCCGTCGCGCCGGGGGTAGGGCGGCCAGATCCGACCACCACCGGATCCGCCGCCGTCACCAGGCCGCGCCGCGCCGCCACCCCGCGCTTGCCCGCGACGCCCCGCGGCCGACCGCGCGCCGCCGGCGAGCCCTGGCCGTCGCGCGCTCCCGATCCGGACGTGGGGCGGCCAGATTTGGCCAAAGAAGTGCCGGATCCGCCGCCACCCCGAGCTGCCCCGCCGTCGTCGCCTCCGGCCGTGGTGGTAGACATCGTCAGCCCAACTCTGTCCTCCTCGCGCCAAGGAAAGGGTTGCTACAGTGGAAGGCCTCGCCGCCGCCTTCGGCGGCGGGGTGAAGAAAGAGGAGGGGGAGTGGCGGCATGGGCGGCTAGGGTTTCGCCCCCCAAGCCGCTCGCGCGAGAGCGACGCGGGGGATTTAGAATTCTTTTTGGGTATCGATACACATACACCGTAAAAGAAAATGTTTCAAAACACCTCGCTAGTACTGGTGCTCCTGGCTGTATTCGCCACCGCGACGCACGCGCAGCTGGTCGGCGAGAGCTGCGCGCCGGCGGCATGCGGCAACCTGACCATCAAGTACCCGTTCTGGCTGCGCGGCCGGCAGCCTGCCTACTGCGGCCACCCTACCTTCGCCGTCACCTGCGACGACGACGACGACCCCACCGGCGCGACCGCGTCGCCGCCGCCCAGCCTGAACGGCTCCTACCTCCGCGTCCTCGCCATCCACTACGGCAACAGCTCCGTCGTGGCCTTCCATGCCAACCTGGTCGAGAGCTCCGCCTGCCGCGCCACCCGGTTCAACATGTCCAGCAGCCTCGCGCTCTCGCTGCTCGCCGTCAGCCGCGCCAACGCGGGCCTCCTCTTCTCCGCGAACTGCTCGCGGACGCCGCCGACGGGGTCGCTCCCGGTGAACTGCACCGGTTTCAGCGGCGGCGGCGAGTGGTTCCTGTCCCTGAATCGGATGTACGATCCCGGCGGCCCCGCGCGGGCGGTGGACACGGTGGGTTGCCAGTACTCGGTGGTGCCCGTGCTGCCATGGTCGGAGCTGAGATCGGCGCGTGACTACGCGGGGCTCGTGAGGCGCGGATTTCTGCTCGAGTGGACGTCGGTGCCGGTCGACTGCGCGGCGTGCAACGCCAGCGGCGGGGAGTGCCGCTACGACGCCGGCGCCATGGGGTTCGGGTGCTCCTGCCCCGGCGGCCGCCTGCAGCCGGCGACATGCGGTGAGTGATTTGTCCCGCGACTCGTTGAAACCTCTGCATTTCTTTTGCCGCGCATGCAGCCGAAAAATCATCTGCTCGTAGCAGCCGAAATGAGTAGACTATGATCAGTTTGACCATTTCAGCTCAACCGTTGATAAAACATACCGAATCAGTTTGACTAGCATTGTCAACTGGGGAGTGCCAATAGTACGCACACACGTGTCATTAGTATAAATTCAAAAGGAACTAAAAATAATCGACGTGTTAGTGATGGATTCAGATAATATATTCCTCGAAAACTCTTTTTTAGTGGTAGGTTACTTGTAGGCCGGTAGAACCAACCCACACAAGAGGACAGAATCGTGACAGGTGATTCCACCAGCCGATCTTGACCGTTGATCCAAACCAATGTCCGTTAATCAGAGTTACTTACCATCACGGCCTTTTTACTCCCTGCAAAAGTCAAAATCAGGAGAAACGGTTGGTCTAAAATTACTAACCTACTAACTTATCTTTCATCCCCTGGTAAATCTAGTCGTATTCTTCTTTTTTCGGGGAATTCCAGTCGTATTCAAACAGATATATAACACGCTATGTTAGGTGCAAATATTTTTCAGCTGAAGCCCTCAGAGTTGTTCATCCGTTTCTTTAAAATACTGAAGTTTAATTAGCACACGAGTAGTTTGCAAGTTGTAAGGTCTAAATTGATTTCCAAGTCGGTGCTCAGATAATTCCATCTAGTCACTACGACATGAGTGACCCATCACCAAGTTTTCACTTACCCCGGAGAAAAAGAAGGAATAGTCACTAGTGATTCATACGGCATGAATGACATAACGCTGTCGACAATTGACCTGCACCACTAGTTTATTTACATCGCGATTAGAAGATTAAAACTGTCCTTGTCTCCCTCCTCACAAGTCAGAGACGATGCTGACTTCCCCATTATTTCTGCTGATAAAAAAAAAGTCTAACAAATCGGAAAGACTAGTCAAGAAAAACAAGGCAATGGCAATAGCATTTCTCGAGCATTAGACCTTCCCCTCCCTTTCCAGCATTCTGCTGCTCTCCAATCCGGCCTCCATTGTGTAGCAGCTAGCTCCACGAGCGGCAAGATGCACCCGACCTTGTTGTGCTTGCCACTCTTGGCCTCCTTGCTCCTCCTGTGCCACCGCGCGCGCGCCGAGTGCGAGCCGGCGACATGCGGCAACCTCACCGTCAGGTACCCATTCTGGCTAGGCGGCCCCAACTTCAACCAGTCCAACCAGTCGTCGCCGTCGTCAGCTCTGGCCTCCTGTGGCCATCCGGCTTTCGAGGTGTGGTGTAACGGCGGCGTGGCGTCGTTGAGGGGCTCGCAAATCCTCGTCCTCAGCATCGACTACAACAGCAGCTCATTCGTCGCGGCACACAAAAGGGTCGCCGACGGCGGCGACGGCGTGTGCCGCACCGACTTCAACATATCGTCCAGCCTAGCCCTCAGCCCGTTCACGATCAGCAGCAGCAACCGGGCCATCTGCTTCCTCTACAGCTGCAACGGCACGGAGCCACCGGAGATCGACGGCCTTGTGAACGCCACCATCTCCAGCTGCAGTAAGCCTATCTACGCGTACCTCGGCGGGATCTACGACCGTGATAATCCACCGGCGATCAAAGCCGGGAACTGCACGTACTCGTACCTGCCGGTGCTGTGGCCGGACTCGCCGGCGAACTTGACGGCGGGGACAAACTACAGCCCGCAGTTCAAGAAGGGGTTCGTGTTGGAGTGGCAGAAGAACGGGTTCGGCGACTGCGACGCCTGTAACGGGAGCGGCGGTCAGTGCCGGTACATCAACGATTCCGCGGCGGCGTTCGCGTGCCTCTGCTCCGACGGCAAGCTGCGCCGCTCGACATGCCCCGGTGAGTACCACACTTGCCTATCGCCCAATCTGACGCATGTGTTAGCTAGTTGAAGATTTTGGCTCGGTGTACGGTTAACTGGACGGCCAAATTGGCGCGTTGCGATCGGTAGCCATGTACTCCGATCCCAAAGTTGCAATCTCTCGTAGGTCCCATGTGGATTTGGAGTTGAATTACTGGCCCACGTCAATGTCCTTGGATTTTACTCAACCTCTCGCTCGCTCGCGGTCTCGGGTAGTTACATGGGCGGCTGGCTAGTCAGCTGCAGAGATGGTGGTAAATTTTGGGAGGGTTTGCCTCGGTGGTGACGTTGACGACGACTTATCAAGCAGGCTGCAGGCAGGAGTTGACATGGGCGGCTAGTCACTGGTTCTTCCATTGACCACCCAGCGTGATTGATTCTTGGGTAAACGCATGAATTCCGTCCTTTCCTTTGTCTCTGTCTCCCAACTTCCCAGGGCAGAGATCCTTCTGATCCTTCTGCTTCCCCCTCTTCTTTTTCCCCCGAAAATTCACCATTCTCATTAGTGAACTGGTTCATTATTAGGACAAATAAGACGTTAGCAGTAGTTGCCTGAAGCTTCGAGTGTGTTGAGCTGGTCCATAAACTAATGCTCATAGTAGGTGACAATGTAAATCATTAGTACATGATCACCAAGTGGCATTCTGCGTAGAAGTACCAAAATAGTGGGGACAGATGGGCACGGGCTAAATTTGGCATCGTGCACGGCGCACCAGCCGCTACCAGGGGCTTTCTTTGAACTGATAAGGCTAACGGGATAAGTTACGCTTTATATCTTTCGAAAGCGGTCAATCGGAGTTGTTAGAAGTGGCGGGCCATGAATTTTTGGAGCCGAAAGAAGCGAATATTAAGGAAAGACCTAATATCAAATAATTAGAAGGGTTGATACTTTGAACCCAGATCGTCTCGTTCACCATCTTGTGGAGCTAGCCGGAAGACCCTGGACGTTTCTCAAATTTTTGGAGCCCAACATATACGCAGACATAATTGGAAACACAATGGAAAGCTCAACATATAAGACATCATAATGGTGCGATCTATTGGCTTCTTAACCTTAGTTACTGCTCCCTCCGGTACAAAAATCTTGATGTTTTAACCTTGTAAATGGTGATTGCGAATTGTTAATGCTTCTATCTTAGCATGTTATATTGGACCGCTTTGCCCTACATGCTTGGAAGTAAAAACCAAGTAAAAAAGCTAGGGAATTGGACCTTTAGCTCGCACCGATACAGGTGATTAATTCAAACCAACGGCAGCAGTGTAGTGATTACCATGAGTACAATACTATATTTAATATGGTAAAATAGTAAATTGATACTGTAATATGGAGTAAATCACTTCTTGGTATGTGAGATCATGTTCAAAACATCAATAATTTTGAAACTGGAAGGAGTACACACTGCCCTTCTCAACTTTTAAACGCTACTATTTCCAAAAAGAAAACTTTAAAATGCAATAAACAGATATGAAAAACTGTTCCCTCAAAAAATATATGAAAAATTCAAAACAGGAAATGCGGTAGTGCTAGAAATATGAAATTATGAACTTTAATCAGTGTAGTTTGTATTGAAATTTTAATACAATGGGGAATGAAAGCTTATATAAAAATAAAAAATATATAGAAAATGCAAAACAATATACTACCTTGGTGCCCCCATTAACGATAGTACTAGAGATTGCCACCACTAAGCTAATTCCGGTCTATGAGTCTATCCAAGTGCTTTTACATAAAAGAGCATTGTGAGCTTTGCTGATAATGACATAGATTTCGGCAAAATATGGTACCAAATGCTAATGCCTTTCCTGCAAAGATTCTGATTCTAGGAGTTGATAGATACCTACATAATTTTTAGGCTTACTTTTTTTTCAAAATTACTTTCCAAATTGTTGAAATGAATTTTGTGCTCTACGCTCCTAAAATATATTTTCTCAAAAAAATATTCTATTGTATTGCACACTTGTTTTAAGTTCATTTATTAAATGTTTAATTTATAACTACAATCAAGTAGATAATCTGTACAACAATCCACTTAATAATCCTTAGATTGTGTTTGAGTGATGAAATGAGAAAATTAAGAAGATACAACAAACAAGATGAGTCATTAGCTTATATGAATTGAGTATTAACTGTTTTAAATTTGAAACTATATGAATTGAGTATTACTTTATTATATTTATCTATAAACATAGTTAAACATGAGACAGTTTGACTGACCAAAAATCAAAACAACTTATAATCTAAAACGGAGGGAGTACTGGTTAGTGGTAGGAACTAGCAACGCAGCACATATGTGTTCAATCTGCATTAGGTTTTTGGTTAGAGAGAAGATACTAGATATTAACACGTTTTTATCAGAAAGTACTCCTTCTGTCCTATATTATTAGGTTCAGAAAAATGTATCTACAAGTTCTCATAATATTAGGATATGTCAAATTAGGTAGGTTTTTATTAAACACATGAAGTATTCTGTAGGAGTTTTTTTTTAGTTTTAGTTACATCCGTACAGGTAAGCGTTGACCGGTTGGAAAGTGGACTAGTCTCTGCTTACCGGCAAGAGTAGGTGTGGAACAAAGGGCGTAGTAGCCTGTTATACAACAGGTAGAAAACAATGGTGGACAGCAGCGTGCACTAGCTAGCTGGAAGAGGGTTAATAGGAGTACACGACGATGAGTCCGGACAAACTGGTCCAGTCACATCAGGGCGGTTATAACAGCTAGCTGCCCATAGGGCACCCCGGAAACTCGCACGCGTGGACGACGATCGTTCGTGTATCAGGTCAAACATTTCGACACAGAGGAATAGTTCCCGTGTGCAAAGTTTCTTACTTCCATCTCCCCCACAAACTTCCATCTCCTTCAGAAATCCCCTATCCCCCTCCTCCTCTTTCTGTCTCGATGTCCCCGAGCTTCTTCTTTGTCGTCGTCTCGGCCTGGTCGCTAGCGCTGATGCTCGCCGCGGCGGCGAGGGGAGCCGAGGAGGAAGGAGGAGGAGGCTGCCTGGGCAGCCAGAAATGCGGCGACCTGAATATCTCCTCTCCGTTCTGGATCATCCAGGGCCAGGCGGATAAGCCGTGTGGTCCTCTGGATTACCAGGTATATTGCAACAACTCCACCGGCGTCGCAACTCTTCGAAGCTCTACAGACAGCGGGTTTGATATCATCAACATATCATATGGGGACCGTACTATGCTCGTCTTTGATGTCCATAAGCTAGCTCGCCTGAATAACTCCACCGGCTGCAGTATCCCAGTGTTTAACACCTTCGCCAAGCTGCCCATCACGTTTACAATCAGCCCTTCCAATCACAACCTCGTCTTCTACAACTGCACCGAGGCGCCGCCGGCGGAGCAGCAGCAACAACTGGGGCTCGTGGAGACGAGATGCGGTAACAACACGTTTGCTCGCCTGGGAGGGCGTTTCCACGGGGAGGGCGACTACGACAAGTACTATTTGGAAGGCTGCAGCAGAAACAGCACCGTCTTCTTGCCGGTGCTGGAACCGCCTGATGGCAAGGCGAACGCCAGCAGGTATGTGGAGCTCGTGGGTGGAGGCTTCCTCATAACATGGGACCTGCCACCGCCAGTGACATCTTCTGGTAAGTTCACCCTCCCTGAAACTATTAGGATCAAGTTCGTATAGAAAATCCACTGTATATCCTGATACTTCCGATCTCCAAGCGAGTACTAGTAGAATACGGTTCTCGCTCATCAGCGTGTAGGACAGGGAATCTGTCGATTGGCTGATAGGGTCGTCATCTTGCCCAATCGTGGCGGCTGGGCAACAGGGATGAGCAAGAATTAAACTAGAATTAAAGTGATCAAAGCAGTGGACCATGACCGTCCTTTCGCATTCCATCTCACTCCGGTGCCATTCCTTCCAATCTTCGATCCTGTTCTGGTACATGACTGAGAAGACCATGCACATCTGTTGGAATTGGAACCGATACGGCAAGACGATGAGGCCGTAGACAGCCATTATCCAGTCAATTTTTTCGGCCACTACAGAGAATTCCCAAAGTTAAATGTATCGTACTAGAAGAAGAAGTAGCAGTATTAATTCTCTCATGTCTTCCTCAATCCTCATCAACAACACATCACCAATTCATCCTCTTCGTTTTCGATGCCCTCTCCTTCCTTGTTCCTCTTGTTCGCCTGCCTCGCCTGGGCGAGTCAAGCAGCGAATACGGCGGCAGACAATCGTCCACAAGAAGGCTGCGCGGCCAGTACTGTATGTGGCAAGGTGACCATCTCGTCGCCGTTCGCCGTCGTGCCGGAGCAGGCAACGGAGAGCAAATGCGGCTGGCTTGGATTCCAGGTTATCTGCCACAACGACACTCCATACCTCGGCTACTACAAGCCCAGATATCGGATCCAGATCCTCGACATCTTCTACGGCAACAATTCATTGCTCGTCTCTGACATCCACAAGCTCGGTGACTTCATTGTCTTCTCCGGCGTCAGCAAAGAATACTCCTGCCATGTTCCGAGGACCAACACCTCCTCCAAGGTCGGCCTCCCGTTCTCCATCAGCACCACCAATCTCAACCTCTTCCTGTACAGTTGCAATAAGGCGCTTGTGCCGCGGGACGGAGACGACGACCTCGTGGAGACGAGGTGCGGCAACAAGACGTTTGCTCGCGTAGGAGGGAATTACAGTGATTCGGGCGACTACCCGGCGTTTTACATGGAAGGCTGCAATGCTACCGTCGTGCCGGTGCTGGGCACGGACGCGAGGAGCTATGAGCAGCTCATCCGCGACGGCTTCCTCTTGACATGGCAAGAGACGCCGTCATCTGGTAAGTTCGTTCGCGAAATTATCCATTTAATCATCACTTTCGGGAGGAGGAAATGCGTAAAATTTATGGTGTCAACTTTATCGAATCCGTTAATCAATCAGTGACTTGTTTATTGGTTGATAAGGCAGTCGTCATCGCTAATCCATCTCCGACCTTTGGATATCGAAATCAGAGAAATATATGCAAAAACTATACTCCCTTCGTTTCACGATGTAAATCATTTTAGCGTTTCTTACGTTAATATTGATGTTAATTAATCTAGACATATATACCTATCTAGATTTATTAACATCAATATAAACGTGAAAAATACTATAGTGATGAAACGGAGAAAATAGTACGGAGTACTTCGTCAAGAAGCTGTAGCAGCAGAGAGAGTAGTAGCAATGTAGCAGTATGTTCAATCCGTAGACTTTGACCGGTCAAAACCGCTTCGCCACCGTCCTTTTGCCCCACGCCTCATATCCCATCCCTCGATCTCTCGTCCCCTTCTTCTCTCTCATATAATCCATTTCACCACTGCATTCCGTAGTTGATTTGCGTACCCAAGTCCACCAGATATGCCTCCGCTCATACTGCTACTGCTGGTAGCTTCCTTCCTCGAGTTGCCGGCACCGGCGAGCTCGTCTAGTCCTGGCTGCTTGCCCACGCCATGCGGCAAGCTGACCATCTCCTACCCGTTCTGGCTGGAGGAGCCCGGCCGGCCGCCGTGCGGGTCGCCGCCCTTCCAGCTCAAGTGCAACGCCACCGGCGCATACCTCACGCACACCATCTACGAGGCGTATCGCGTTGTTGATATCTTCACCGGAAACCACACCGTCCATGTGGTGGACGAGAATCTCCCGCTCGCCACCGGCTGCCCGGCGCCGCCGTTCAACATCTCCGATGGCATCTGGCAGGCGCCGTTCGTCATCAGCGAAGCCAACGCAGAGCTGCGCTTCCTCTCGTGTAACAAGTCACTTCCGGCGGCGGCTGCTCCTCCCGGCTTCCATAGCCTGCCTTGTGATGACCAAAACTCCTCCGTCCGGCTCGTCAGCGACCACCATTTACACGAGGATGGGATTCCACCGGGCTGTAACTTCACGGTTGTGCCGATCGTTCAGCGTCACAATGGGAGTATGGCCGGCTATATTGCCAGCATGAGGAGTGGGTTTCTACTAGAGTGGGCGGTGGTTTCAGGGGATTGTCCCAAATGTCAAGTAAGCGGCGGGAATTGCACGTACAGCGACGACCTGGAGTTCGCCTGCAATTGCCCCGACGGGATGCACCCTGACAAGTGTAGAGAGTTCAGAAAATCGGAAGAGCACGGTAAATTTGTCCAGTCAATTATCAATTAGAATAAAAATTTTAACATAGTTCTGTGAACATGCAGCCTAGGCCATCCTAACCGATTCAATGCATCCAAAGTGTGTTCATCTAGTTGATAGTTTTCTTTATATATATAGAAAAGAATGACACATCATTTCGTTATACAGGAAGATTTCCATGCTACTGTGGCCTAATGTCCACTAGATAAACTCTTATTATAATAATGCGCGTGACATCTAGTTTTGCTATCGAGGAAAGAAATTAAACACAGCATTGTCACAGCAATGTTCATAAGAATATAAAATGCAAAGTGGATATTGATATTTTTGTTTTGAATTATGAGTGTTTGCTTCAAGTTCCTGCTGTTTTGGTTGTTAGTTTCTCATCAAACAATTATTTCACTGATGGGAACATTGGCATTTGGCAGCTTATGGAATCCTAGTCAAACGTGTTACGTGTAGTTTGAAGTATTCAACTACACTATCTGATAAAGATATCATACCAATACCATGTTCCAATTTTTCTTCTGCTGATTGCTGACTGACGAAGAAATCCCTCATCTGATTGACAGCAAATACCCTTTCATTTTCTAATCCTTAATTAGTGTGTTCCAAACATGTGGAAAGCATAAATTGCATCTGTATTTCTGTTGAATTAGGCTGAAAAGTTGTATAAGCACTGTCCTTCGTTTCAACAGGGGGTTAGGGGAGCAATGATACCCTAACAATGTGATTATGAATGATCATTCTATTTGTTCATGGCATATTTGTGCAAGGTATTAAAAGTCTGTTCTTCTGCAGGTTCAAGAAGCAAGAGTCACATAATAGGAATAGGTGAGTATAATTCATTCTTGTTTCTTGGACTTCCCCAACCATTCAAAATGTAATTATGAAGATATGCTTCAGATCCTTGGTTCTCACATATTGATAGTGCTCTGTCTCTGTTATTGCAGCATGTGGATCAAGCGGCGGAATATTATTGATTGTATCTATATTCATTTTTGCTTGGCACAAACGCAAGAAGAGGAAACAAACCCGAGATTTGAAAGATCTCATGCATAGTTCATCTTCAATGCAATCATACAGCAAAGACCTTGAGTTGGGTGGTTCTCCCCATATATTCACTTACGAGGAACTTGAAGAGGCTACTGCTGGATTTAGTGCCTCGAGGGAACTTGGTGATGGTGGTTTTGGAACTGTTTACAAAGGTAGGAGAATATGTTTGCACAACTCCCTTGTTGTTAATAGATTTCTCATCTAATCACTTCCTCATTAGCATGCCTAATTGCATGCGACAGGGGCTCCGTTGAACTTTGTTCCATAATAGATAACTTCCCCTATTAACTTAGCAGTTACAATTCTTCCTTTCTGCCATTCAGGAAAGCTCCGGGATGGGAGAGTAGTTGCAGTGAAGCGCCTTTACAAGAACAACTACAGACGAGTAGAGCAATTCCTAAATGAGGTAGACATTTTGTCCCGCCTACTGCACCAGAACCTTGTTATCCTATATGGCTGCACGTCTCGTTCTAGCCGTGACCTTCTCTTGGTCTATGAGTACATCCCAAATGGGACAGTTGCAGACCATCTACATGGACCCCGTGCAGGAGAACGAGGCCTCACATGGCCTGTAAGAATGACAATTGCGATAGAAACGGCTGAGGCACTGGCATACCTTCATGCAGTTGAAATCATACACCGTGATGTCAAGACCAACAACATATTGCTGGACAACAACTTCCATGTCAAAGTTGCGGACTTTGGACTATCGCGCCTGTTCCCGCTTGAAGTCACCCATGTATCAACTGTTCCACAGGGCACACCAGGGTATGTTGACCCAGTGTACCACCAGTGCTACAAGCTAACCGATAAGAGTGATGTGTATAGCTTTGGTGTTGTGTTGATAGAGCTAATTTCCTCAAAACCAGCTGTGGACATGTCCAGGAGCCACAGTGACATTAACTTGGCTAACATGGCTCTCAACAGAATTCAGAACCATGAAGTTGATCAGTTGGTTGATCCAGAGATCGGCTATGAGACTGACAGTGAAACAAAGAGGATGGTAGATCTGGTGGCCGAGCTGGCCTTTCAGTGCTTGCAGATGGACAGAGAGAGCAGGCCACCAATTAAGGAGGTAGTGGAGGTCCTGAATTGTATCAAGAACGGGGAATGTCCAGCGGAAAAGATGAACAAGAATGCGTCTCCAAAGGAAGATTCGCATCTGCTGAAGGACAGCCTACAGTATTCGCCTGACTCAGTAATCCATAGATTTCATAGCCAATCTACTAACCACTCGGTAGCATCAAACTCTAGCGGATGATGAGAAACTTTGTATTGATTCTGATGAAATAAGGATAACTAAGTTGTCCCCTCTTGGTTGATGGACTAATTAATACTACAAGTGTTTGACTATGAGCTTGGCAGAAATTCAGACAATTGGTGAATGCGGTAGGAGAAATACAGGGTTCAAACAATCTCGTGTAATCTAGTGTTCAGTGTGTTCATGATTTCAGGTTAGCGAGTGGTATCAGGGAGAACACATCCCATTGTTACCCTAACTAGAGGTTGCAATTTTGCAAGCATTCCTCCCCTTTTTCCTATGAACTGCATGTACGAATTTGCAACACAAACATTTGGAATTGCGGGCAAAGCGTACCTGGCTGCAAGAATGCAGTGGCAGATGCAACCGATTCTCGTCTGATCCCCCGGCAGGCGCGGATCCAAATCTAACCTGCCGCGCCGCGCGCGGCGTCCTCGTCTCTCCACGCCGATGAGTCCGGGGACGCTCGACCGCGCACAGCCCGTGCTAAATTTCGCCTCCGTTTTGGGGTGGGGGATTCGCCGGCCGCCCGGTCTCCCCGGCGGCGAGTCGGCGCGTGCCCTAGGCCCGAGGCGTGGAGACGACGCGGCGGCGCTTTGAAGCGCTTGCTGTAATCCGTGGGCTGGATGGACTTACTTCTAGGCCCATTACAACGCCTTCGATTAAGTGGGCCAGGTGCTGTTAACATTATGGCCTTTTCACTAGGCCGGCAAATCATAGACGAAGTTAGCCAGATGTCAAAGACCTTCAATACAAATCTAAAACTTTCTTCTCTAAATCACAAAATTTTCAATTGAATATCTGGAACTTTCACCTTGAGATTACGAAAACTTCCAATTCAAATATAAATCCTCCCAATTCAAAATTAAAAACTTTTAGCTATATACTCAAATCCTCTCTTCTCCTTCGACATCAACTATCACCACCATAGGCACAATGACATCGTGTGTGCCGTGCCACTGCTCCTGCTCTAGAGAGGTCAGCATGAGCCCAATGCGGCGCGTGGTGGCTGGAGCAACAATAACAAATAGACGGAGTTCCTGCAAGGGGAATATCAGTCGACTATTGATACCGGAGCTTCGACGGAGCTAGAGGTAGCGCTGCATGAGTAAAAAAGAAGATGAAGAGGGAGGGATGGAGGGTGGCCATGGACAAGGATGGGTGACGGCTAGCCACTTCGTCGACGTTGAACGGGAATGGGAGAAGAGGTATTGGTGGGCCTTAATTACAGGATAAAGTTTTCACTATTTCGCTAACTTGCGAGCTTGCCTTTTTCGATTTTGTTCACGTATAGTGGACTATGATATTGTACAATTATCTCTATCTCTAAATATCAGTGATTTTATCCATGTAGATAATGATAATAGTACTAAGCACATCTTCCATGGTCCCCACTTCAACATTATCAGACAAGTTCTTTCATTAAGACGACACACCATTCCCATGTCACATGGGAACAAAGTCACAGAGCGACTTGCTCGAATGAACGCGTCAAATCACCCCATCACCCCCCAACGCATAAATCGATGCTTTTGTTTCGTCCAAATCTCACTGGGATCCGAAGATGACATGCATACACTGGTGTAATAAGCAGAGGGGGAGACTCCCCCGATGATTCGAACAGTATCGCACCAAATTTCGCGCGTCTTTTAGCGCCCGGGCAGTTAGCGCCTGACGGTGATGCTGATGCGACGTACTCTCCCGCGCATTTTTCTTTCTTTCTTTTTGGACGCTGGATCAGCAGACAACTCCCGCGTCTTCCTCTCGTAGCCTCCATATGGCAGCCTGCTGCGTATTGCGGCTCTCACAAGCCACTCCTAAACTATGAAATCGTCACGTAGAATACAGTATATTTCATGACTGATTTTACAGATTTCACCTTGGCATAAGAAAGGTGTCTAAGAAAGTGTGAAGCTATACATTCAGGGGTGGCGTGATAACATTATTCCTGAAGTTGAGGTCTAGCACGGACAGATGACATAGGAATAATAAAAGAATTCCATATGGCAAATTTTAAAGACGGTAAAGCACAATTCGAGGATTAGCTCCAGAATCCCAGATCATCTCCAAGTGAGCAACAGTATCTCAGGGCTACCAACCAGCTGAAAAATTAAGTGAGAGAGAATACTAGTACTACTAGCTAGCTGCTAGGAGTAGTATATAACTGTACTGTCCTAGCTGAGATCGGCAGCAGGAGCGACCTGGAGGCTGGAGGATAGATGGCCAGGACGACGCTCTACAGGCCAAGGGTGAAGAGCTTCTGGGTGCTCGTGCGCCGCCTTCTCTGCTGCCGCCGCAAGAGTTACAGGCCGGATTATGCGGCTGCCGGGGAGGAGGACGACGGCGAGAAGAGCAGCCTCCTCTTGACCAGCAGAAGCTCTTTGGAGGAGCTCCTGGTGTCGGACGACGCCGACGACGACGGCGCCATCGACGACGCCGCCGTGACCTGCCGGAACGCGTCGCTGTGCGCCAAGAAAGATGGTCAGGCGCCGGTGGTCGTGCTACCACCACCGGGGCTGCATCACCCAGTGATGGCTCGGCCGGCGCACGGCATGGTGACGACGTCGTCGGGCGGCGGCCGTGATGGTGCGGCCGTGCAGTGCCGGCGGCGGTTCATGTTCGGCGGGCTCCGGCGGCGGCTGATGATGAGGAGACCGTGGCGGCCGGTGCTCGTCGCCATCCCGGAGTGAGCATGGACAAACCAGAAATGACATTCCGGTAAAATCCGTTGGAATTGAATCAATCGATTGCAGTATGCATATACTCTAGTGTAGCTTTGCGTGTTGCTCGGTTTCTTTCTTTGTTCGTTGCTTGCTGCAGTATGTGACTATACTAGCTATTGATGCTTCTATCACTGTTCTGTAATCATCAACGATGTCGGTGCATAACAGCATACTTGAACATGTCCAGTGTCTTTGCTGTGAAGCAAAATTGCAACCCTGCTACTCTGTTTTTCACTTATCGTTGAAATTATGAAAGCATCTCTAGAAATAAATCTAAAAAATATTTTTTTTAAAAAAAATCTACGGATAGTTTTAAAGTAAAAGGAAGCTAAATTTTAAAATTTTTCGCGGCACAGATTCGTAGAAAAAGGAAACGAAGTACAGTGAAGCGATCTGCTGCTCGGTCTTTGACAAATCCAATTGATCATTGGGAGCTTTTGATACTCTCGAGATATTCTTAGATTGAATTTAAAATTTTCAAAATGATGTGACGTAGCACCTTGGCACCTTGGCAATGTGCTATACAACCAAAAGCTATGCTGGCTAGCTTTGCTTTTAGCACGAGAACTGCCAAGGATGGCAGGAAATCTGGGTCATGTCTGTTTGGATTTGCCTGCATGCTCCAACTGCTTTCGGCTGGACCTTGACTGAGCTATTAGGCAGCAGCTAGCACAAAATGCCAGTTTCACCTGATGATTTCGTTTAGACCAAATCCAGGTTCGTTTCAGTGACACAAACGATACCATTGGAATGGCCAGCCCTCGTTTCGTTGGGCTGACATTATTTGGCCTAAACGGAAACTGGGCTCACGTAACTGGGCCTCGCCCACGGTCCATAGACCCTACGGCGTCAGCTTGAATCGTAGCCGCAAACGCGCCTCCATCCAACGGTTGCTTTGGACCAAGTGGGGTTCGGGGAATTCTTTTCCGAACCCGAGTCGCCTTAACAGGCTAACATGCAAGACAAATGCCCATTTTCATGGGCTTTCGTGGGAGCTCTGAGCTCTCCCTACCAACTCCAGCCTCAAATATATGAGCTACAAAACAAAAAAAAATGGTCCAAGATTGCGGGGAAAGGTGGAACATTTGCCAGGCAGCCGGTAAACTTGAAGGGAACTCCAAATCGAGAGTCCTCAAGAAAATCGGACAGAAAAAATCAACAATTAAAATAATGTAATTGAATCGTAGATCAGATAATTATAGGAGAAAAAATATTTTAGAGATAATTAGTTTAGGAGAAAAAAATATATTAGAGATTCATACATGTATTGTGGATAGAGTAGAGAGGGAGTAGTACATGTAGTCACACCGATCGGTAGTGTTATCCCGTAATTGGGAAACAGTGGCTCGTAGGGGTTCGGCAAAGAATTCTCCGAACCCCAATCAGACAAATACAACCGCTGGATGGAGACGATTGTGCGGCTAAGATTTAAATTGACGTGGCTCTACGGGCCGCGGCCATGGACCCTGGCCCGTACCGCCGTACGCTACGTGAAGAACCTTGAAGCCTAGCCACAGGCTTCCATCTAACGGTTTTCTTTACCCGGTGGGAGTTGGAGAATTATTTTTCGAACCCATCAGCGTTTAGCTAGTTTTTTTTTTTTGCGGGGAAAGGGAGATATATTACTCAGAATCAGAACAAACAAGTTGCAAAATAAGATTACAACTATCATCAGCCTAGAACTTAGTGAGATATTCAGTACGGGCTTTATTTGCTAAAACATGACTGACAGAATTCTGAGAACGATGAATTTTCTTCAGTATGATCTCCCTTCTTCCTCTCAACAGAGTATCGATGTCTCTGACAAGATGAGCCAACGCTGACGCCAGGGGCGGAGCCAGTGTACAACCATTGGTGTCACATGACACCAATGGCTTGTGTCTTGTCTTCATTATTCCTTTTACTTTGCAATGAGTGACACCAAATTAACTTGCTTTGTGACACCATCCTATGTGAGCATGGACAGCCAGACAGTAGCTAGCAGCTTAATTAACTATTGATAGCCCAAAACTCACAATATTTGACTCGTGGTCAAAGTTGTTTGATAGCCTAAAACTCACAGTTAGTGGTCAGAGTTGTTTTATGAGACAATGTTCTTATCCAAAACGGCAAATATTATTAACCTAGAAAGAATATTATTATTCACTTGCACATGTATATCTAGCAATTTTAATTTAGTCTTTTATAATTTAATTTCACCAATTAGATAGTTGGCATGAATACAAGTCGAATTATTTTTGAAAAGAAAATTCTATTTTACTTTATCAATTAGCACTAATTTTATTTTACTTAAGTTGTTATCATTGATAGTGACACCATCGATCTAATATCCTGGCTCTGCCCCTGGTTGACGCCTCCTTTGCATCCTCCATCGATCTAAAATCCTGGCTCCGCCCCTGGCGCCTCCTCCTTTGCATCCTGATCATAGAGACAGCCACCAAGCAATCCGCCACAACAATAATGGGGAGTAAGGTCCATTGGAGCGCCATATTAATACCCTCCTTACAAGCAAGCAGTTCCGCTTCAAGGGCACTAGAACAACGATCAATAAAACCGCAAGCAGAGAAGATAACCGCACCACTGGAGTTTAGCTAGTTATCGCCGGCAACGTGTACACTCTAATTATTCGACCTGTGCAGCTGTGCACACGCATTGCGTGGCTGCGGCGATCGACATGAGCACACATGCATGATCAATATACAAACAAGCTGATTTTATTTTTATTTATTGCTTCGTGCAAACGCGCTCACAACAGAGTACAAAAGAATACACAGTTCATAGGACTAGTAAAAACCATCAAACCCGAGTGAAACACCGCAAACAGTTCAGAGTGAACATGCATGACACGCCTTGACCTTGACAAACTCCCGTTTTCACCATTTTAGCCAGAGATCTCAATGGCCTTCACCTCGGGCTTCTTGACCTCGGCCTTGGGCACGGTGACGGTGAGCACGCCGTTCTCCATGCCGGCCTTCACCTGGTCCACCTTGGCGTTCTCCGGCAGCCGGAACCGCCGCATGAACTGCCCGCTGCTGCGCTCCACGCGGTGCCACTTGTCGTTCTTGTCCTCCTTCTCCTTGCTGCGCTGGCCGCTGATCACCAGCACGTTGCCTTCCTCCACCTCCACCTTCACCTCCTCCTTCTTGACGCCGGGGAGGTCGGCCTTGAAGACGTGCGACTCCGGCGTCTCCTTCCAGTCGATGCGGGCGTTGGCGAAGGCGGCGGTGTCGTTGTCGGAGGTGGCCGGGACGACGGAGCGGAACACGCTGTCGAAGGGGTCCCAGAGGTCGAGGGAGAAGGGGTCGAACACGTTGCTGCGCCTCACCAGCGACATGGCTAAGCTGCTTGGATCTCTGGAGGATGGGAAGAAGAAGAGTTGGGTGTGATTTGGATGGTTTGCTTGATTCGACTGTGAATTGGCGATGTGACCACTACTAGCTCTGCCTTGAATGCGGAGATGCGATGCAAGGTGGGCGTATTTATAGGTTCTTCAGAACTTGGTCTTGAAGCATCTCGAGTGATCTCCACTCTCTGATGTTCTCTTTTCTTTCCAGATCAGCTTATTTCCCTTGTCTCTGTCCAGCAGGACCCACTCTTTTCTAGACTAGTCTCCCGCTTACTGGAGCCTGGAGCTCCTTGTTTTATGATTTTCATTAATTAGTATGTGCTCTTTTTTCCTTTTTAAGAAAATTATTTATTTATCCTCTAAAGTTAACCGAGCTAGACATTTACCCTTGTAAAATTCACTCTCCTGTAAGGCTGTAATGCCTCTCATTCGAACTGTTTTTATCATTTATTTGTTGTTTTAGTAGGTTTTCGTCGATTTAACGTTAGTTAGGGGTGGACAAAATAAATTAAAACCAACCGAACTAACAGAAATGAGACCGAAATTTCCGGTCTCTTTCTTGTTGAGTTGTGATCTAAATTCATTTGCACACGTATAAAGTCTAGCTTCCAACGGAGCGAAGCGGAGGCCCGTCGTCGGAGGCTTCAGCCGGAACGAAGCGGAAATGATGACAAAGCTAGTTTTCTATTGCTTTTTGCTCAAACTTAGTTGGTATAGTGATTTAGCCCAAGAGGTTATTTGGCACCGAAAGTATTTTTCTTTATTGTGTTTAGGTTGAAGGATTCATTTATGCTAAAAAAGGAATTCGTCTCAAGGATTCATTTCCACATGTATAAAGGCTAGCTTCGGACGGATCCTTATCACTTTAGTGTTTCACCTTCATATATACTTCTTGTAAGCCGCCGTTCGGCGTTGTAACCTCAACCCGTTATAGTGAAGATATTTGCTGCCTGGCACCCGTGGCTTTTTCTCTCTTGCTTTGAGAGGATTTTCCACATTAAATCTTATGTCTTATGTGATTGATCTATTGCTATTTATCGTTTATTTGCCTATCGTTTTCTAACCCTTCTTACTAACTGAATTTAATACGGTCAATTTAATCATGAGTCTCTTAACCGAATTAACATTAGCTAAAACTCAGATAAATATTTTTTCGTCCCAAAAAAAAATAGTACGGGATGGTATATATGTATGAGACGAAGGAAGTATCATGCTTGAAAAAAAAATTAAAACCACTATATTGGTTACTTGGTGTTATATATAATTTGTTGTTGTGATTGTTCACTTTTGAAATATGTCCTAAAACAAGATTTATTGTTGATTGCGTTTCTTTTAGTATCCTCAAATTTTGATCATGACCCAAGACCGAACCAAATGTATGCCCAGTTGCCCACCCCTAACGTTATTATGGGGTGAAAAGATGGTTTTGCCCTTAAGAGCAGGTATAATAGCAAGCTTAAGTCAGCTATAAACATATTTTAAAGAGATAAAAAAAGATAGAGAAGAGCAGCGGGCTACAGATCTGTAGTCAGCTGCAGCACGGACTTCAATACGTAATGTATGTATGATAGGTGGGACCAGGTATTAATAGTACAGTAAGCAACTATTGTATGAATTGACTATTACATTGGCTATAGATGATTTTAAGTTAGTAGTGGGCTATACTATTAAACTTGCTCTAATTGTTTTATGCCAGAGCCATAATTTTATCCTTTCTTTTGAGGAATAAATTTTATACTACGGAGTAACTTATTACGCGATTCACGGTTGAATATCTGTTTACTTATCTTTTTACTTATACTTATATTTATCAATCAAAATTTAAAATTTCAACTTTAAATTTGAAGTTGATTTTGGGGGTTTTGATCAAAATTCATTTTTCAGTCTTTGCTTTAAGATCACTAAAAACACGTATATACAAGTTTTATTAATAAATTATTCTTTTTTGGCAAATATGCTGTTTGCAAATGTGTTATAGGCTTGTAGTAACGGGGTGTGATACAAAATCCTTTAAACGTCCGTATTTATCATGCTGAATGAATAGGTTGGCAAGTGTTTAAAAAAAAATAGGTTGGCAAGCAGTGGGTCGCTGATTAATCATTCGTCGTTGTGCAGAAGCATCTCGTCTTGCAGCTACCTGATTAAGTATATGTGATTAACACTGGACAAATCTGGAACAAAAATTAAATCCGGCTGGTCTTTCTAAATACTCCAGTTTAATACAGTACACATCAAATCTAAGTAGGCAATCATTGATTTCATCCAGACCAGCACTTGGGAGTGTGGAGACTAGTCTGGACTGGGAAGCAAAGCCTTTTCTAGAAGGGAGCAGATCAAATCAGGAGCACCGAAACAAAAGTAGATGACTCGAGACGCCTCAAGAACGTCCATTGCGCAGCTCCCGGACAAATCCTATAAATATGTGCACCGCTCTTGTGCTGAAACCCACCGAGGAACACACAACAAACAAGACTTGCATACGTCCCAAACTCCCAAATCGCCCTCTTTGCAATCGCTTCTTCCGTTCCATTTCAGTAGCCCACAACTTCGCATCAGAAAGCGAAAGATAGAGCAACCATGTCGCTGGTGAGGCGCAGCAACGTGTTCGACCCATTCTCCCTCGACCTCTGGGACCCCTTCGACAGCGTGTTCCGCTCCGTCGTCCCGGCCACCTCCGACAACGACACCGCCGCCTTCGCCAACGCCCGCATCGACTGGAAGGAGACGCCGGAGTCGCACGTCTTCAAGGCCGACCTCCCCGGCGTCAAGAAGGAGGAGGTGAAGGTGGAGGTGGAGGAAGGCAACGTGCTGGTGATCAGCGGCCAGCGCAGCAAGGAGAAGGAGGACAAGAACGACAAGTGGCACCGCGTGGAGCGCAGCAGCGGGCAGTTCATGCGGCGGTTCAGGCTGCCGGAGAACGCCAAGGTGGACCAGGTGAAGGCCGGACTGGAGAACGGCGTGCTCACTGTCACCGTGCCCAAGGCCGAGGTCAAGAAGCCTGAGGTGAAGGCCATTGAGATCTCCGGTTAAGCTCCTGAAGATGTGATCGGTGAGGGAAGAAGTCATGTTTGGTGTCAGTAATTCAGTATTTCAGTGTGTGTTTGTTTGGTCGTGCAAGTATGGTCTGCTGCTGGTGTGTCGTACCCGTTGGGAGTCCGAGTGGCTGAGTCGGCCGGTTTCATGTATTCCTTTGTGAGTACTTGTGTAATCGCCTTCTTAGTTCTTGCTCGTTGAGGAATAAATAAAGAGCTTTTCAGGTTGCAAACATCATGCAAACGTTTTTGAATTCCGATGTTATATATACTGTGTTATACTAGCTTTTGACAACAGTTATACTCCTAGGTGTGCGGTGGTCTGATTTGAAACTTCAGCCGAAGAAATGGAATGTGATAAGAGTCGATAAGTTTCAGGTCACTATATTTTTAAGTAAATTTAATAAAACTCACGATTTATATAAGGTTTAAGTTACAAAAAACAACATCATATTATACCTAGAATGCAACTTCAACCATAAAACTTTTAAGAGATCAGTTTTGACACCTTATCGTTTAGTACATTTTGAAACGTTTAGTAGATCCCAATCCGATGCAGCACCATCGATCTCAGCACCATCACGAGCATCTTCTTGGCAGGGCTAACAAATTTCCCCATGAAATATCTCGGACTACCACTGGTGGTAGGAAGGCTGAAGAAAGTCCATCTCCAACCGCTGCTAGACAAGTGTCAATCGTGCCTGGCCCCCTGGCAAGGGAAAATGATGTCAGCGGCCGCAAGGATCTGTTTAACCAAAACAGTTCTCACAGCGCAGCCCATTTACCACTTAACCTCCCTGAAGCTTCCGGATGGAACCTTAGAGGACATTGATAAAATAAGAAGGAAATTTCTCTGGGCAGGAGGGGAAAACATTTCTAGGGGGAAATACAAGGTCAACTGGAAAAGAGTCTGCAGGCCCAAAGACCTGGGAGGACTAGGAATAATGGACCTTCAGCGCTTCGCCTCCGCCTTGCGGCTTAGGTGGCTATGGTATGAATGGACGGCCCCAGAGAAGCCTTGGGTGGGAACGGCGGTTCCGTGCAGTCAGGAAGATAGGGAGCTTTTTTCGGCCGCAACAACCATAACAATCGGCAACGGTAGAACTGCTCGCTTTTGGGACTCCAAGTGGCTAGAGAACCAAACTCCTTAGAAAATCACCCAGACATCTATGTGGCCTCAAAACGAAAGAACAGATATGTCCATGATGCCCTGCAGGAAAGCAACTGGGTCAGAGACATCGACATCCTCCGCATCACTGAGGCGGATCACGTTCAGCAGTCCGTCCGCCTATGGACTATGATCAGAAGAATGAACCCCCTGACTGAAGACCAAGATAGCATCCACTGGGATTTGACAGCCAATGGTCAATACTCAGCAAAGTCTGCCTACAGGCTCCAATTCCTGGGGGCCACGAGGTCTGCCTTCAATCAAACTATCTGGAAAGCGTGGGCCCCTCCAAAATGCAAATTCTTCTCCTGGCTCGCCACCCAAAATAGGCTCTGGACAGTTGACAGACTTGAGAAAAGAGGATGGCAAAACCAGAAGATTTGCCCGTTGTGCTGCATAATTGACGAGTCAGCAGTCCACCTGCTGGCACACTGTAGAGTTACAAAGCGGGTCTGGACAGAAATACAAAGGTGGACTCAAACCAACCTCCAAATGATCAAATGGAGCGATTGCGACTCGGTAGAACAATGGTGGAACCTTGTGGTAGATTCTCTCAACAACCCCCGCATTCCCCTGCGTACTCTGGTGATCTTGGTCTCCTGGGAAATATGGTGTGAGCGAAATGCAAGAATTTTTCGAAACTCTGCATCGCCACTGGCATCCATCCTCGCCAAGATAAAAGAGGAAGGTCGGGCATGGGTCAAAGCAGGAGCCTATAAGCTTCAAGAGTTCGGAATCTTGGGAGATATCACTTAACCATCACCTTTTGCGGGCTTAGTTCTTTTTTAGACTAGCCCTGTACATAATTCTATCGCCCTGTATTTTCTCCATCTCTATCAATATACGAGGCAAAGCTTTTGCCCTCCTTTTAAAAAAACGTTTAGTAGATACGCGGTAAATGTTTACCCGTTTACATTTACTTATAATTCATCAAACGATATATTAGCGATTAAATAATTTATGGTTAAACTATGTATATGTTCTTCATGACTTAAATATCGATGTTAGAACAGAACTACAATGATAAAACCTCAAATTCAAATTTTAGTATCGTTATATACATATATGTTCTTCATGACTTAAATATCGATGTTAGAAAAAAGAACTACAGCGATATAACCTCAAATTCAAATTTTAGTATCGGTATAAACATTGTTGGATAAAAAAAATATGGCCTTTATCACTTCTGACCAATGCATGAATATTTAGCAACCAATTTTTGTAAATTTATAAGAGATGTGAAATAAGCGTAGCATAACAGGTTAGGTTAGGTTTCTTGTGATGGAACTCGAGTTCAAATTCTAGATTTGATACGGGTGCTCACATTTATGGCTAATTATTCTTTCAGTGGTAGACGATATACCCGTAAATGTCTACGGTGACTTTATGTAGGGCCAGTCTTTTGAAGGTGCTCATAGAGTAGGGTGTTCGCGTGTATGTTCATACGGGTCAGTGTGTACGTGTTGTAGACGTCTGCATTGTATTGTGTTTCAAAAAAAAAATAGAAGTTAGGAAAAGGAAGAAAAATGCATCAATTACATTGGCCCTACCAATATAATTCATGGCACCAAACCAAAAACAACCCTAATAAGAAAGGTAGTACATATAAAATTTAGAGTGAATTACACTTTGGACCACCTGTTACTGTTGTAGTTTTATATTGGATCATCACTAGTTCAGTCTTATCACTTTGGACTAGCTAAATTTACGTCCGTTGTACTTTGAACCACCCAAAACCTCTTCTTTAACATGTAAACGACCTGGAGGATGTCAACTCTGACACGCTGGCGAAATCATCCACCTATGTCTTTGCCGCGGTATAGGATGAACATGGGTAGAGAAAAAAATCGGGGTGATCCAAAGTGCAATAGACGTGACCCAAAAAGTGTAATTCACTAAAAAAAACTTACCAACGAAGCAATGCTTTGGCAGTGATTTTTACCTTTCAGTCATGGGCATGACCTGCATTGTAAAATAACGTGGTTGTGAATTCAAACTCAAATGTGTTTTTCTTTCACAAGTTGCCGTTAAAAATATGTTTCGCAAGAGACTCACTGCTCCCAGTGAAAGCAGTGAATTGAAGCATTCCCGAAACCCACTGGAATGATCTAGTACTCACTCTACGATGTACAGTGAAGTAATACTTCAAAACTGGTGTAATTTGGTATGCCAAAAGGACTCCATAGTTTCACGACATATTTCCAAACGGTTCAGGATCAGTACTGCCCATCTGCCTGGGGCCCACACTAGCGGGCAATTGGTTCTCGTAGTTTCTCGTTCTCAATCAATCATTCCATACTCGCTATCCCCTCCATCACAGAATAAATGCAACAATGAGTTTCCGTGTACAAATTTAATCGTTCGTCTTATTTAAAATATTTTTTAAAAAACTAAAAAACAAAAGTCACGCATAAAGTACTATTCATGTTTTATAATCTAATAACAGTATAAATACTAATCATAAAAAAAAATTCAAATAAGATGGACGATTAAAGTTGAACACTGAAATTCATGGCTGCTTTTGTTTTGAGACTGAGGGAGTACACGATAAGATTTGATCGCAATCAAAGTAACCTACATCAAAGAAGCAAGATATGTGGGGGAAAAATGAATACTCTAGAGCAAATTAAGGTGAGCCCCGCTTTGTAGAGGCTGATGGAGTACTGGAGCGACGGAAGCGAAGCAGATCGAGTGTGCTGTAAAGCGAAACGAGCAAGAACCAGAGAAGTCCAGAGATTTCAGGACAGATTAGTTGTGAACCTATAAATATCCTGCCTCATTCCCCAACCTCCATCCATCGAGCCAAGACTGAAGCATTTGATCGAGCTCCAAACAAACACTCGTTCCAAACTTCCTCCAATCCACTTCATACAAAGAAACCTAAGCAGCTAGCGATCCACGACAAACCAACAATGTCGCTCGTGAGGCGCAGCAACGTGTTCGACCCCTTCGCTGACTTCTGGGACCCCTTCGACGGCGTCTTCCGCTCCCTCGTCCCGGCGACCTCCGACCGCGACACCGCCGCTTTCGCCAACGCCCGCGTCGACTGGAAGGAGACGCCGGAGTCGCACGTCTTCAAGGCCGACCTCCCCGGCGTCAAGAAGGAGGAGGTGAAGGTGGAGGTGGAGGAGGGCAACGTGCTGGTGATCAGCGGGCAGCGCAGCAAGGAGAAGGAGGACAAGAACGACAAGTGGCACCGCGTGGAGCGCAGCAGCGGGCAGTTCATGCGGCGGTTCAGGCTGCCGGAGAACGCCAAGGTGGACCAGGTGAAGGCCAGCATGGAGAACGGCGTGCTCACCGTCACCGTGCCCAAGGCTGAGGTCAAGAAGCCCGAGGTGAAGGCCATTGAGATCTCTGGCTGAGAAGGAGAGAAGCTATATACGTCGTGCTGTGCTCGAGTCCGGTCGTGTCAGGTCCATGTGTGGCGAGTCTCGTGTCTGTGTGGCAGTTGTGTCGTGGCCTCCGCCAATGTAATGTATTCTGGTTAGACCGGAGCACAACATTGGTTCGGTCCTTGGAATTGTCCCATGGCGTCTGAATGAATGAGTAAATAAAGTGTCCGGCCGATTTGCACAAGTGTCATTCACTTCCGTTCCCTTCGCTGAGACGTGCATGTTTTATTTAAGGCCTGTTCACTTTGATACCAAAAAACCTTAGTTTTGATAACTTATCAAAATTTTGGTAGGATTTTTATATAGTTACTAAAATTTGGCAGCAAACTAAATATAGCTATATTTTTTGGCAACTTTACCAAAATTTGATAAGGTTAAAAATGGCATCAAAGTGAATATGCCCTCACTTCCGTTTCATTATGGGGTATGCTTGGTTTATCGCCAAAATAAACCCAAAGTTTGACAATGCTAAATTTTTTAGACGTGTGTGTGCTCCGTACGTCATCCTGTTTGTTTTCCAAATCATCGGCCCAGCAAAAAATCTTGGGGGCTCCTAGCGCGCGCTTGCGCCAGAAGATCAAGTCGCGAGCGCGTGGAGCTGACTAGGAGTTGTTTCCCTTTTGCTACGTTCAACCCATGTAAGTGCTCCCCTCCTACTGATACTAATAATGTGATTAGAGTTAATCGCATGATTAACTCTAATAAATACAGTACTAGCTAACATGAAGATTTAAATTTTAGATTCGGAGTTGAAACTTTTGAAATTTGAAACTAAAAGTTTTGAATTTTGGACTTGAAAGTTCTAGAATAGGAATTGATTTTTTTAAAAAAAAATTGGAGTTGAAAGTTTTCAATTTTGGATTTGAAAGTTTTGAAAATTCGGATGAAAGTTTTTAATTTTTAGTTGAAAGTTTTTGAAAATTTGAATTGAAAGTTTTCAAATTTATGTTGAAAGTTTCAAATAATTGATTTGAAAGTTTTTAAAATTTGAGTTGAAAGTTTTAAAATTTTAGATGAAAGTTTTGAATTTTTAATTGAAAGTTTTCGAAAATTTGAGTTGAAAGTTTCAAAATTTAGGTTGAAATTTTCAAAATTTAGAGTTGAAATTTTCAAATTTGAGTTGAAAGTTTTTTTTTTGATAGAACGAGTTGAAAGTTTTAAAAAATGGGTTGAAAGTTTTCAGATATGAGTGCTCATGTTAATCACGGCACCTAATAAAAATTAGAACTAATAATGAAGAATTATAGCGTTAATTAAGCTGTAGATTGATTTGTCTCACTTGCCCAACTGCCCCTTCGCGGTAATTCCTATCTATACTAGCACATGCATGCGTCGGTGCTTTCAGGAAGAAAAACAAAAAAGTCAAAAGTGTGGTTGGGCCTTAGGCCTGGCTAATGATGGGCCAAAACGGAAACGCGCGCTAGTTATTTATCTAGCGCAACTGCGCCGATTAGCAATTTCGAAAAATCTTCAGCCCGGTTATAACGTAACCATCCTTAAGCGAAGCGATCCCAACCCAATACTACGCCAGAATAAGGCCCAAAATTCAGCCCATCAAAGTTTCAGCCCAAATGATTCCCCGACGTGCCAGATGACGAGTCCCCCTCCCCGTGCGCCTGCAGCCAGAGCACAGCCGGCAAGGCGTGCAAAAAGTTGGTGCGCCACCACGGAGAGTACGCCGGCATCCAGTCGGTCAACCCACGATCCCCTCTATGGCTCTCTCTCCTCTTCCCATCTTGTGTGTTTCAACTCGTTCCCAACTTGTTCGGATTGATTGATTGACCCCACGATCGGCAAAACGTCTCTGCCGCCACTGGAATCCGTTTCGTGCGATAGATAGATTTCGTGGGAGCAACGCTGGCTACCCCGGCAATCCGTGCTTCTCTCTTCCTAGTTGGTGGTGTAAATGGTCTGCTGTCTGCAACTGTGCGTCGCTACCTCACCCATTAATTCCAGACCTTAGCCTGTCAATTGTCGTGCTACTTGTTGCGAGGCCATTCATCAACCTCAAGTCCTCACGGGACCCGACCCAACTACCTCTAGTGCTTTTCATCAAACAGTCTGTCTGGTGCAGCTTCAGATTTTTTTGGGGGGCTCGTGAATCGTGATGTATCTGTTCCGAATTGCTGACCCCCAGTAGATTAGTGGTCGTAGTAACAGCCTAACATGGACTGTTATTCAGCCACGGCCCACGGGCACGTTCCTTTAGTCTTTACAGCCGACGTGGATCAAACTGAGCTTAGAATATTATCGAAGGCACATGAAAATTTCCCAAATATTCGAGTATAGAAAGTTCATTTAAAAAACTTTCTGAAAAAATAATACCGTGTAAGACGAAAAGAATGGGGACCTGGGACTACTGATCGATCACCACGCAGCCTGATTGATAAGAAGAAGCTGAAGCTTCTTCTTTTGCTTTTTCTCTTTTTCCCTGATATAAACCAGTGTGATTGATTGTGCTGTATACTCTTTTCTTTTAATATGTTGACGTGTAATTTTTTTACGCGTTCAGAAAAAAAAAAAAGAATGATTGATAATGTTCATATGGGAACACACAAAATACGTAAGGGAACTAAGATGGAACATGTATTGCATCAAGCAAATAGTATGATTTTGCTACTAGCTTTCTTGTCTTACATCGAGAAAGCATTTCACACCAAAGGTAATTAAACCAAAAGTACAGCAAGCACCTTACTCGCAAGCACTTTGAACTTATCATCGACGACAACGTATACATACGGATCGTTGGATTGACTGACTGTCTGTGTGTGTGTGTGTGTGTTCATCGCATCACTACGGGCTGGCTTCGATTGCCTTCGCCTCGACAGCGGGTGCGACGACGGCGGGGACGGGTGCGGCGGCGGCGATGGCGGGCTGCTTGTCAGTGACCACCTTGGGCACGGTGACGGTGAGCATGCCGCCGTCCATGGACGCCCTGACGAGGTCGACGACGGCGTCGTCGGGGAGGTGGAACCTGCCGAAGAAGGTGGCGCAGCTGCGCTCGATGTGGTGCGACCGCTGGCCCTTCTCCTCCCGCCGGACGCTGCGCTCGCCGGTGATCACCAGCACGTTCCCCTCGTCCACCTCCACCCGCACCTCCTCCTTCTTCACCCCCGCCGGCAGGTCCGCCCGGAACACGTACGCCTCCGCCGTCTCCCGGCTCTCGATGTACGTGTTGGCGAACGCCGACGTGTCGCTCGCCAGCCACGCGTCCGCCGCCACCGTCGTCCCAAAGATGCTGAACGGGTTCCAGGCGTCGAACGCCAACGTATCAAACAGCTTCACCAGAGACATCTTCTTCACACTCTGATCGATATCACTAATTCACTTCTACTACTTCTTCCTCACCAAAATCAAAATGAACTCTCCTTATATATAGATTAAGCTTCAGTTTAGAAGCTTTGATGCTTGGATGGCGAGCTGCTGCTGGTGGTGGCAATGGCGAGGTAGTTGGTTTATATAAAGGACGAGAGCCGTGCGTGGCACCGTACATACTGCCTATAGCTGGAAGCGTAGTGGTGTGAACGGGTCAAAACAGTAGCTTTCCAACGAGAGACGACGAAAGCTCGGGCACGGCTTCACCTTCCTCCCACCGATCGACGGCGGCGATCGGCGCCATTCCTTCTTCTTCTCCAGCGTGTGAAACGATCGAAACAGCGAGGCCCCCACAGTCGTGCAGTCACTGTACGGCACCTAAATACTGCCTTTTGGACCCTCGCGAAGACGACGTTTAATTAAGTTTTTTGTTCACATTTCTGCGTCATCTAGCCCTCTCGATGAATCGATCGGTCGTGACGTGGCCGTACACGTCGCGATATATCGATCTCCGCTGTACTGTAGCTCAGCTGCAAGGTAGTACTACCCTACATTTGATAGGTGTGCCCCCCTCGTGTCCCCGGACAGTATGAGATGCAAATCTGCAGGCAAGTGATGGATGTGGTGTTGCGGCGTCGCTCTCCGTCAGTTAAGGGTTTTGATGGGGGTGATGTCGAATTCGTTCACACTTTCTCTCCGGCGTCTTGTGCAAGCTCCGGTCACCACGTGCGCGTCTGAATCCTGCGTCGTCAATCACATCTCCCTTGTTACTATTGCAGAAGATTTCTAGGGCTATTGGTCTCTGAGCTTATCTTGTTTGAGTAGTAGTATTACCGGAGCTTTCATTTCAGAAAAGTATTGTTACCGGACCGGTAGGTGCATCATCAATTTTGTGTTAGGCAGAAAAGCAGTAAATGTCTTGTAATCATCTGCGTCACTTGCTTGCTTTATCGTTTTCAAACTCCCCGTTTCAGTAGCTTGCTCTTGCGGTTACGTACTAAACCGCTGCAAAATATATGTTCAGCTGCAAAGTTTTGACTGATATGTGCAAATTGCGACTTGTTCGGTGAATCGGAGGGACTCAGTACACTCAGATGATGCGAATCAAACAACAATTTTCAGAAGAGAATACTTCGTAGAAGAAAGAAGACGACGCTGGTCCAAGCTGCAAGTAAGGCAAGTAGCATGTGTTTTTCATTCATGAACCTTCCTGGCCCTCTCAGGAAGCAGCTGAGTAGTAGTTTGTGTTTAGATCCAAACTTTGCTTTTTTTTTCATCACATCAACCTGTCATACACATATAACTTTTCGGTCACATCGTCTTCAATATCAACCAAATTTTAAACTTTAGCTTGAACTAAACAAAGCCGTAGTAGAAGGCCCTAGAGAGTCCAAGAAAGAAACAGGGAGACAGAGCCAATAATTCAGCCAAAACGGTAGGTTTCAGACAGCCATGTTTTTCCACCGTGCCCGGTCCGAATTGTCCATTCTTTGATCAGATGGCACGTACGTTTAGTACGTCCCTGATTCACCAAAGTTTGTAATGGACACAAAAGTCGGTACAAAGATCACAGATTCCCCGTGCCGGGGAAACGTTTTGGGCCACGAAAAAAACTCCGATGAAAATATGTGCAGAATAGACCATTCCTCACTGACGGGTACCGATCGACAGCACGTCGAGACCTCAATTTCTTCCTTAATTAATGCACTCTAGAGTTTTGCAGGTGAAGACTTTGCTTTCAGTCCTCTGGTTGGGGTTTGCCCTCAGGAATGCTTGGTGGCCATTAGCCAGACAGATCAAATGTGACATCCTGAATTTAAGTTTGATAGTAGGAAACGTACTTCCATATTCGACTTCTTTGCAGTGCTTAGCAAAAACCGGATTAGTTCATACAAGTCACTTGGCAGCCACGCGAAGGAATAATTATCACCACCACATGTCAATCCATTTCATTGCGCTTTATGTTGGTTTCTTAGCACTTAAGAGATGAGATGTAGGTTTATGGAGCCTTATCCAAGAAATTCGTCACATCACTTGCCATCGCTTAATGATGTAGTCATGACATAATTCAGAAGCTTTGCCCGGAGAAAACAACTCTATTGAATACGGTGACTGTAACTTTGGTTGGAAAGAGTTGCGGTAAAACGATTGAAAAAGATTGTTTGGCCAAGATTCAGACTTCAGACAATTGGAAGCATATCAATCTGGCGAGGCTGCTTGGTAGGCTCTTGGGCAAGTGGATATATTATCGTGACAATAGTGCTGCTCCTTCTGGAAGTAGCGAACAGCGGAACATGACACAGGATAATTAGCACTCAAGTAGCCAAGAGCCTCTCTTTACCTTTAAATCCACAAAATATCCTCTCCTAGATGTCAACTTCAATGCTAAAATTATCAGATTTTGCACCACAAGTGAGTACCAGATCAGAGAAAAAAAAAGGTTGGTGTAATGATGTCTAGCACTCTAGCTTCGGCGCCGGCATACTAGTCGTGGAAATCATCAGTAGAAAATTGAACCTCGACGCCTCACGGTCCGGACAAAGCATCAATCTTATTACCTCATTGCACGAAAATGTGAAAGTTTCAGAACGGAAAAAAAGAAAAAAAAAGAAAAGACGACGAGTGGTCAGTTGATAGATTTGATTGACAGCCATTTGCGATGACAATTGCGCGCGGCAACAGATGCCATCTGCATGGCTGATAGACGATCTTCGTCGACACTGGGCCGCAACTAACGAACGTGGCATTGGTGCTTTGATCCATCAACATACCGAGGGGAGAACGTCGTCGGCGCGCAGTACGGCGAACAGACGCGTTGGCGTTTCGGTTTGACTTGTGGAGCGGCGGGGCACTAGGGGGCATCAGGCTAGCATGGTGAAAGTAAACCGGTGGATGGTGGCTCCACCCAGTGAGAAGGTGGCACGCAGCAGTCAGTGACGGATGATTCAGAAATTTGGTTCGTTCCATGTGTCTACAGTCAGCATTGTACTCGGATTATAGTTATGAACAAACAGTTTAAGGTGTTGGTTGGATCAGGGAATTAACTTTAGTCTCTGTATTTACACACTAATTTAGAGTATTAAATATAAACTACTTACAAAACTAATTACATAAATGAAAGATAATTTGCGAGACAATTTTTTAAGCCTAATTAATCCATAATTAGAGAATGTTTACTGTAGCATCACATAGGTTAATCATGGATTAATTAGGTTCGATAGATTCGTCTCGTGAATTAGTTCAAGATTATGGATGGGTTTTTTTAATAGTCTACTTTTAATATTTATAATTAGTGTCCAAACATTCGATGTGATAGGAACTTAAAAGTTTTAGTCCTATCTACACAGGGTCTAACTATGGTCATGTTTAGTTCTAAAGTCTTTTTTCCAAACTTTCAACTTTCTATCACATTAAACCTTTCATACACACAACTTAGTCACATCGTTTCAATTTCAACCAAACTTTTAAACTTTAGTGTGAACTAAACACAGTCTATAAGTTTTATTAAAAGTTGTTTAACCATAAATTTTATCGAAAGTCGTTAATATCTTCACACTTACAGTATACTGTAGATCGACAGGGTGGTGTTGAAACTTGAAACACCGGACCGGTTCAGTGCGAGGAAATAAAACGGCCGTACCAGACGTTAAAAGTGGCCATATACGCGGATACGGCCGTACCTGATGTTAAGGTCATAATTTTCGTTTGTGAACTTGCTTTTAGCAATTGGTCGACCACCTTTTTAAGTACTCGTTCGTACGTTTCATTTGACGATGATTCAAAGTACATAGATTTAGTATCTTTTAGAACCGAGGCTTCATTAAACAAGGCTGACTGGCGGGGCTTTTTCGCACCACACAATAAGGGAATAGCACATTAATAATTACTAAGTGCTAACCATAATAAACTTGAAAAAAATATTTGATTTATAAAAAGAAATTTCTACATATAACTTTTTTTTAAAAAAAAAACATCATTCAGTAGTTCGAAATGCCAAACAAAAAGGCTGATTCAAACTCGGCTCAAATCTTATTTACCATTGTTTATGTTCATTACCTTTTTCTCAATTGTCTTAAAAAAAGTGAATAAAATGTTGAATGGCAAAGATCGAGTTAAGTTTTGTGCGATATATCATTCACTTCTTTCTTACACTCCCGCTCCCGCCGCCACTGCCACAAGCCCTCTTTCCTTCTCCCGATCCCTCACCTGATCTACCATTGCCGAAGCTTCCTTACACCCCTCCCTTCCTCCTCCACCCTACCCTAGCCGCGACATTCCTAGCCCCGTCTTGCCTTTCTCGGCTCCAACAACATACGTCGTCGGATATGTTGACATCTTCCTTCTCCTTTTAACTAGTCAACTACTTGACCCCCGCCTACCAACTGGCTCTCCTCGCCCATGGTTCAAGTGGTGCTGTCGTCGTTGCCTTTTCATTGCCTGTCGATGGGCCACCGTCACTCCAACCATCCCTCTAATTAAGTTCGGGGAAACCCTGTCTTCCCCTAAGCACCTCCCAAACCCACCCTAACCTTAAAACCTAATTAGTTGGTGTTTTCTCTATATTTGGGCTATTACCGGAGGAGAGGTTTCGACCTAGCACGTTACTGACAATTCCGTTACGAAAAAAGTTCAACGAAGGTCTCTCAACTTGTCATCGAGTTACAAAATCGTCCCCCTAACCGCAAAACCAGATATATGACATCTCTCAACTTACAAAATCGTTCACTTTATGTCCTTCGATGGTTTTGACCCCGGTTTTATCTAACGTGGTGGCTGACTCAGCGTAGAACCCACGTGGGCCCCACATGTTAGGAGGGCATGCCATCACCCTCTCTCTTTCCTAACATGTGGGGCCTACGTGGGTCCTATGCTGACTTAGCCGTCACGCCGGATAAAACCGGAGTCAAAACCACCAAAAGATCTAAAGTGAACGATTTTGTAAGTTGAGAGATGTCATATATCTAGTTTTACGATTGGGGGACGATTTTGTAATTCGATGACAAGTTGAGATAGATCTTCAATGTACTTTTTCCGAAGACCACCCAAGGCTTCATGCAAGCCACTCTGGGGCCTTCCCACAAGGAGACCACCTCGTATGAGATCAGCCTTCTCTCGCCATGGCCCGTGGGCCGAAGCGAAATTGAGAAAGAAAAACAAAATACCATTCGATTTTGCTAAACGTCTGTCGACAGATTTCTCGTGAGATATCACTAGAATTTTTGACGGTTCGATATGCTTTGAGATCTGTGTGTTTTCATGGGCCAGCTGACCCTTCGCACATGGGCCCACAGATGATGGGTGAGGAAAATTAACATGCATGCATTACGGGCCAACGCTGTGATGCTAAAATTGAAATATTTAAATTATGAATTTGCTATATATTAATTTGTCGCGTGATTTTTTCCTTCGTATTTGATGTTTTTTCGACCGTATGATCTACGCCACGATTTGTGCTGATTAGGGCGCAAGGGGGAGTTGAGGCCGCGTGGGCCCATGTTTCCGTGCGAATTTTTTGATTAGTGCGCCGTGTCCGGAACCGTTTTCTCACTTATTCCGCTTCCTCCTCCCTATTCGATTTAGCTAAACACGTGGTTTTTCATTTCGCTGATTAGTGAAAAAAAATACAATCCTATATAACTAAAATTACATTCGTAATTTCAGTTGATACGATATATAAGTGTACTATAATTTTAGTAAAAAATAATGTGTAAGTAAATGTGTATTTGTTATTTCCTTTAAAATATAAAATTACAGTCCTATATAACTAAAATTACATTTGTAAATTTAGTTGATATGACATGTAAGTGTAATTACACTATAATTACACTGTAATTACATTATAGTTAGTGTAATTACACTTTAACTTTTAGTAGATGAGTTGGTGATATTTTTTTTGCGATGTAAAGATCTAATAAATAAAATATATGCAATATATATAATTAATATATGTTGATACATGCATAGACTCTTCTAATCAAGTGATTAAATGAGCCTAATCTAACTATCTAAAATCTGTGTGATTTAGACTCAAAAATCTGTCGTGTGATGGATAGCTAGTCCCAATACCATTACGCTCCCCTGACCCATACACGCATGTCCTCCATTTCTTTAACTAGTGAAATGAATCGATCAACTAGCTTGTACGACTAGCAATACAGATTTATTCCCATATCCGCGGTAGACAGGTACATGATCGCATATCTGACGAAGAACTGATCATCAACGACAAATTAAGACAGTTCAATACTGTAACACACGTAGTGCGTACTACTAGTACACACATGCATACACACGAGCGACACGTACGTACGGGCTACATATGACAATTATATTATTTTCCCTTGCTTGAAACACAGTTTATTATTGGCATATCCTTGTGATCATGCCAAATGCACGCAGCAAACAGCCGAACACGGACGGTGATATGATCAGCCCGAGATGGGGATAGCCTTCAGCTGCGGCTTCTTGGTCTCCTCCTTGGGCACGGTGACCGTGAGCACCCCATTGTCCATGGACGCGCTCACCTGGTCCACCCGCGCGCCGCGCGGCAGGCGGAACCGCCTCTGGAACTTGCCGCTGCTGCGCTCCACGTGGTGCCACCGCTCGTCGTTCTTCCCGTCGACGTCCTCCTCCCTGGCGCGCTCGCCGCTGATGACGAGCACGCCGCCGTCCTCCACCTCCACCTTGGCCTGATCCTTCCGGACGCCGGGGAGGTCGGCCGTGAAGACGTGCGCCGTCGGCGTCTCCTTCCAGTCGACGCGGACGTTGGTGAGCACGGGGCACCGCTCCGCGAGGGAGCGCACGGCGCCGAACGGGTCGGCGTCCGCCCAGAAGTCCACCGACATCGGGTCCAACACGTTGCCGCTCCGCACTAGCGACATTGTGCTGTTGGTTACTGCTTGGTTAGTTTGTTGCTCTCGGTTTCGCGGTTTAATTCCAACGTTTGTTTTGTTTTGCTCGCTGGATCAAGATGGCTTTGCACGCAGGTTTGTGTGATTTTTGGCGACCGATGATCCGGTGTTCGAGGGGGGTGGATTTATACGAGAATCAGTTGAGAAGTGAGGATGGGTTGGATGCGTCGTGAAGGGTCGAGGAGTGGGTGAGTGATGAGGTTTCCTGCTTGTTCTGGAGGTCACCGGCATATGGCAAGCAGCGGGTGCTGGGTGTGGCGCGAGATCTCTAGAGCTGATCGACGGCGCGTCCGTTGGTGGCGTGGACTGGACCAGGCTTCAAAATTAAATGGGCCTGTTAGGATTGCACAATGGGCTGATAATCTATACGAGATGGATAATGGATTCAATTCACGGAGCTGGATTGGACTTTTGCTGGGCTGGCACTATTTGTGAAGGAGTACCTTAGAATTTCTTCTTCGTATAAAAAGAGAAGGAATAAGTCCATTTTACCTCACTCATCTTTTGCCCTTCGTCTAATAACATCCCTCAACCACACAAAAGGTATAACGACTCCCTCATCTCCGAAAACCGGTGTAAATCGACTCCTCGGGTGGTTTTGTAAGCGGTTTATGCTGATGTGGCAGGTTGACTTGGTCCAAATATGCTGATGTGGCGGCCATATCACCAAAATAGAAGTGGGTCCCACATGGAAGTGACAAATGCTAAAATAAAAAAATGGTGGGGCCTACTTGTCAGCCCCTTTTCTTATCTTCTTCCTCCTTTCAATCTCTTTCTCGCAACCGCACATGCAAGAGGCTGATTCGGCCGGCCGGTGGCGACGAACGTCGGTCGGGGGCGGGCCTCGGAGGGCTTGAAGACACGACTCATCTACTCCTACTCCCGGAGAGGTCCTCCCTCGCTCCCAACCGGCCGCAACCACCCGTCGAGGTCCTCCCCTCGCGACCGGCTGGCCAAGACCACCCGGCGAGCTCCTCCCCCGCGCCCGGCGGGCCGCGACCTCCCGACGAGCTCCTCCCACGCGCTCGGCCCGCCGCGACCACCCGGCGAGCTCCTCCCCGGCGCTCAGCCGGCCATGGCCTCCCGGCGAGCTCCTCCCCCACTCCCGACCAGCCGCGGCCACCCGGCGAGCTCCTCCCCCGCGTCCGGCCGGCCGCGACCACCCGGCGACCTCCTCCCCCGCTCCCGGCCGGCCGTGGCCACTCGGCGACCTCGTCCCGCACTCCCGACCAGTCGCGGTCACCCGCCGAGCTCCTCCCCCGCGTCCGGCCGGCCGCGACCACCCGGCGACCTCCTCCCCTGCTCCCGGCCGGCCGCGGCCTCCCGGCGACCTCCTCCCCCGCATCCGGCCGGCCGCGGCCTCCCGGCGAGCTCCTCCCCCGGGCTCCGCCGGCCGTGACCTCCCGGCGACCTCCTCCCCCGCGTCCACCCGGCGGCGACCTCCTCCCCTGCGCCCGGCCGGCCGTGGCCTCCCGGCGAGCTCCTCCCCCACACCCGCCGCCGCTGCTCGAGCCGATTGAAGGCATGAGATTGTGAGAGAGGAGGAGATGAAAGAGCGAGGGGAAGGGTGATAGGTGAGCCCCACATGGGTCCCACCTAATTTTTTACTTTGAATGCCACTTAGATGGCACCTAAGCTAAAACTGAACTCAATACTGTCTTGGGAGTCGATTTGCACTGGTTTTCGGAGATGAGTGAGTCGTTATACCTGGTTTTTTTGGTTGAGGGATGTTATTCGACGAAGGACAAGAGATGAGGGAGGTAAAATGGACTTATTCAAAAAGAGAATGAGTTTACTTTTCATTTTGAGTTGAAATGGCAAAGTTAGCTATATACTACTATGATCTCTCATTTTTCTTCCCTCCGTGGACACGTGTAGTCTATCCACCAAGTACACAGCTCTTCTGGACTGATAGGCCATGAAAGCTACAGCAAACTGTTGCCCGACTATACTACTCCGTAGTATACATACTTCAGCACGGTCACACGGAAGACGTGGCCGGTGATTCGTACTCTCCATACATGTGCACCCCCTTCGAAGAAACTGCCTGCAAAAGGTCGAAAAATTTGCATCAATTCTCCCGAGATTCGCACCACTTCCATCAGCCGACAACGTGTCATGTTCACGAGGGCGACTCGTGGCAGACGCGCTTGCCACGCCGGCCTATGCAGCAGGGAAAGGCCACAAAAAGACTCTCTCCTGTACGACTATGCATTTCTTTATCCAAAGAGATGAAAAGTCGGTGCGCGTCAATGGCGCGTGCGCCGTGCACCTACCCCTATTAATAGCTCCCCTCTGCATTGTTGCGAGCTCTAGCTCACCACAGCCACACTTCTGATCACTGCTCACTCAGCTAATTAAGCTCAAGCTTTTGCTTACGGCAAGTCTTGCAACCATGTCGAACACCACCGAGAAGAAGATGCCGCAGCAGCAGCAGGTTGAGAGGCCGACGGCGTTGGCGCCGGCGGACGCGGAGATCGAGAGGGTCTTCACCCGCTTCGACGCGGACGGGGACGGCAGGATCTCCCCCTCGGAGCTGGCCGCGGTGACGCGCGCCATCGCGCCGCCGCCCAGCGAGTCCGCCGGCGGCCGCGAGGTGGCCGCCATGATGAACGAGCTCGACACCGACCGCGACGGCTTCGTCGACCTCGGCGAGTTCGCGGCGTTCCACGGCCGCGGGCGCGGGGACGCCGAGCACGAGGCCGAGCTGCGCGCCGCGTTCGACGTGTACGACGTCGACGGCGACGGCCGCATCACGGCGGCCGAGCTCGGCAAGGTCCTCGGCCGGATCGGCGAGGGCTGCAGCGCCGAGGAGTGCGAGAGGATGATCGCCTCCGTCGACGTCGACGGCGATGGCTGCGTCGGGTTCGAGGAGTTCAAGAAGATGATGTGCCGTGATGCCGCTGCAACCGGCGGCGCTGACAAGGCCAAGACGGAGTAAAACAGTGTCAGGTCATCTAGATGTGCTCGCTTCTGTTTGTCATTATTTTGACCTAGAAATGATGTAATAAAAGGGTAGTAATATCGATCTGAATCCATGAGACCATGACTGATGCTTCCATGTGTAATTAGCAGCGCCGTGTATATTATTATATGTGATTATGTGTACACCGATCTGCTGATGTATGCTACTTTGATCTGGACCAGCTAAGATTTGGCCGAACTTTTAATGACAGAATTGCTGGTCATCTTCTCTTCCACAAAGCTCATCTCGTCATACTTCAGTTTTTGTGTTTGAGTATTTCCTTTGTGTGGTTTGTGGATTCTTGGCCTATTTGGTTCTCTACCCTAACTATTTATTGGTACCCTAACTATTTATTGGTAGTGTGACAAAATCTAGGTAAATTTTGGTGGTAGGGTAAAGTTAATTAGCCTACTTTTGGTTTGATACCAACATGGAGCCAAAATTTAGTAGTATGGTGAAGAAGATTCTAGAATATGGCCAAATTGTGTATGGGTTTGGCTTCAAACCAAACTAACATATTTACTATTTAAATTACTAAAATTTTGGTAAGGCACCGTTTTGGCTTCAATCCAAAACGGCCCTCTATTTTTATGATCTTGACGGCCATTGTGAAGCCACAAAAGATTCAAAAGTAAGCAAAGCACCAATGCTAGTAACATTGTACTAGAGGATCGAGGTGGCAACTGGCAAGCAAGAGCAACAAGTGCCACTACTTCTAGAAGAGCAACAAATAGGCAACCATGGACACTTGCATGCAGATTGAGTTTTGGTTAATTCTTCTTCACGGCACTGACGAGTGACGACGCCTGTCAATTTCCCCCACCATCCACACGGGGTTCATAGCGGTAACAGTGACAACTACGAACTCATCTGCAAATTAAGCAGAGTTTATTTGCGGAATTCAGAGAAGAGCTTTTGTGTGCACATGTTACACCTCGGGTTGAAATGGAAGCACGCAGTTGACACTGGCAGATTATACATTCAGATTTGAGATATGGTAGTTAGTTCAACAAACACGGGAGATTATACAGTCTACGGCAGAGTAGATTTCTGTTACTCTGCATCTCTGTTGGATCACCGCCATCCGACAATTTTCAAAGCAACCAGCTTCCATGATCTAGAAGAAGGCTACCATAAAAAGCAGAGTCCAATTTGTTATGCCTCAAAATCCATTAGCCCTCTGAAACCTTCAGTCTATCTCAGGCAGCAATGTCAATTGCATATGCATGCAGGCACCGGCCAGAAAAGGCTGCTACATCTACTTGACTGGCCATCACTACTGAATTTTGGTTCTTCACGTCCACTCCTTTAACCACATAGTTTTGTACCTGGTCAATTATCTGCAGTAAGTAGTATGCAATCTTGTCAGCATAACTTCTGTCATTAACCTCTCTGGTTAGATATTGATCTCAAGATGCAGTGTAATCTGTAGCTACTACCAGTACATTTTATTCAGTTTGCCCAGATTGTCAATGTACATGCAGTGATGCAGGTAAGTGATCTGCTTATCTGTCAGATGCTGTGGCTGACGAGGGAAATGCACCACCTCGTTGTGAGATGCTTTCATGTGCGGATGTGCCAATTAAATTTGGAATATGATTTTCCGTTCGCCGAAATGCTTCTTGAGCTCTTGTCGTTGGGCCGAAATGTTTGTTCTGCGTTGGACTGAAAGGGATAAGTCCACTTTACCTCCCTCAACTCTCGTCCCTAGTTAAATCACGTCCCTGGTATATCGGCTCCTTCAGCTTTGAAAACCAGACCAAATCCCCTCCCTCGGTGGTTTGGCAAATCCCCTCGGTGGTTTGGCTGGTGGTTTCGTCCGACGTGGCGTCGTTGACTCGGTTGGCGACGTGACTCAGCACGGTGGGACCCACATGTAAGTGTCTATGCAGTATGAACTCACCGGTGCTGAGTAAGCGCGGAGCAGAGCAGAGGGACGGAGCAGCAGGCCACGGGCGGAGCGGAGCAGAGGGGCTGAGCGGGGCGGGCGGAGCGACGGTGGCCAGAGCAGAGGGGCGGAGCTGGGCAGTGGCGGGTTGCCGCCGGGAGAGGGCAGCGGGCGGTCGTTGTCGAACCCGTCGCCGTCGTCGTCTTCGGCGGCGGCGAGAGAGGAAGTAGAAGGGCAGAGCAGGGCGGGCAGATAAGAAGGATGTCGCCGCACCCGTTGACCTCACCGGGACGGGAGAGGAGCGGCGGAGACGGGTGGGAGAGGAGACACGAGCGGCGGCCGGTGGAACAGGAACCGCGGGAAGCATCAGAAGGGACAGAAGCGGCGCGCGGTCGCCGGCAGCTGGTGGGAGGAGAGGAACCGCGGGCGGCGGCAGCTTTTCCCTCTCCTCCATGGGCCTCCCCGACCACGCTTCCGCGCTCCTCGCCACAGTCTGGAACCCCACCGCGGCAGGGAAGAGCGGGGCAGGCCAAGCGGCGGTGGACGGAGCATGCCGACGGAGTGGAGTAGACCGTCGTCGTCAACCGCTGTCGCACCTGCCACAGCTACCGTGCTCGCCGGCGACCTCCTCCTCCTCTGGCCACCTCCACCGCCGCCGCTCCGCCCGCCCCTCTGCTCCGCCCGCAGCCTGTCGTCGCCATCGCTCCGCCGGCATCCTCCGCTTGATGGGCGCCGCCGTGGGGACGAGATCATCGCCAGCATGGTTAGGAGCTTATCGGCAGCGGCGCGCTCGGGGAAAGGGATAGCCGGCTGCGGCACGTGCGCGGGGAGGAGGTCGCTGGCCGCGACCGCGCATGGGTGAGGGGTCGCTGGCCTCGGCATAGGTGCGGGGAAGAGGTCGCCGATGGAGGCCTCGCGCGGGCATGGTTAGGAGCTCACCAGCAACGACGCGCTCGGGGGAATGGGTAGCCGGCCGCGGCACGCTCGCGGGGACGAGGTCGCCGGCCGCCGCCGCTGTCACGGGCCTCGGTGCAGGCGTGGGGACGAGGTCGCCGGCCACGGCCGCGCGTGGGTGGAGGGGGTCATCGGCCGTGCGCGGGAACAGGGAGGAGGTCGCCAGCGGCAGCCGCGCGCGGGTAGCCTTCTACTCCGGCGGCTCCGCCTGCTCGCCAGCCGTTGCCTGCGAGAGAGAGAGATAGAGAGAGATAAGGTAGGGAGAATGAGAAGGAGGAGGAGGTTGACTGGTGGGTCCTACCTTTTTTTATTTTTTTATCATTGGCACTTGCAAGGGGCACTCAGACTGCTGACATGTGAGACCCGCTTGTTGACTCAGCAAGTCAACTGTCACGTAGGACAAAACCGCCTCCAAAACCGTTCGAGGAGTCGATTTGCAACGGTTTTCGGAGTTTAGGGATGGGTTATATCCGGTTTTGTAGTTGAGGGATGTGATTCAACCAAGCGCATGAGTTGAGGGAAGGAAAGTGGACTTATTCCGGACTGTCTACTCGGTTGCCCAGCCCAGACTAGCCTTCACTCTGAGTGGGCCTCTCTCAAGTTGGGCCTAGTAAAAATAGACCAAACGCAAGGGGAAAAAGTACACCGAAGGTCGCTCAACTTGTTATCGAGTTACAAAATCATCCTCCAACCACAAAACCAGATATCCCACGTCATTCGACTGATCAAAACCGGTCACAATAGATTCTTTGGTGGTTTTGACACCAATTTTATTCAACGTGACGGCCAAGTCATGAAACCCATGTATATCCCACATGTCACGATGCCACGTCGGCATCCTCTCTCTTTCCCCTCCTTTCCCTTCCTTTTCTTTCTCTTTCTCCTCTCGAGCAGCACTCGGCAGGGGAGGAGTGCCGGCGCGGCGGGCGTGCCGGCGGCCGGCAGGGGAGGAGCGCGGCTGAGAGGAGGGCTGGCGCGACGGGCGGCGGTTGGCGACGCGGAGCACGACGACGACTCGGGGCCGCCGCTCGCTTGCTCCTGTCCTGGGGGCTGGAAGAGCAGCGCTTGCGCACTCAGCGTGGAGGCAGTTGGACTTCGGCGACGTCCCGAGGCGGGCGAGGACGGCGGTGGCTTGCCTCAGCGGCCGCCACTCCTCTCTCACCGTATTTCCTCTCTCCGCGTCGCCACTCCTCTCTCAAGACTCTTTCTTCCTCTCCGTATTTCCTCCTGTTTCTTCCATGGTTCGATTCAGTTATCTCGTGTCTGAGAAGCCGAGCTGAAGAATCAAGGGGGCTCTGAAGATTCTGACAGCTAGGTGAGATTCAGTTTTTTTTCAGGGATCTAGTGGGTTTGACTGTTCTTTTCTTTAATTTGATCTTTTGGTATATTTTAATTCGATTATAGTGCCATGTTCTCCCCCAATCTTCTTGTTGCTCTGCAATTAATCTGTGCAAGAAACCAATATGAACTCTCAATCCACGAGATGTTTGTTGTCGAAAAAAACCCAAGTTGAGTTGCAACAGTTTACTCCTCTGCACGGGTGTACTGGCTGCCCACTGTCGCCGTAGCCCCGTACTAAGTTCATGTCTAGACAGCGTCAATCTCCAATTTCTCATCACCATTTTCCATCTTCACTAGAGGTCAATGAGTCCTTTTCCCGGCATGTCCTTGCGTAGCAATGTTCATCGCAGCTTTTGTTTTGGGGGGGGGGGGGGGGGGGAGATTGGTAAATGAAGCAGTCAATGACCCCGTACTAAGTTCATGTAGAGGCAGCCGCAGGAGCTCCTCCAGCTCCGGCCACCGGCGTGGTGCTCGTGCTCCGCTTCCCCGGCATTCTCTGAACCGATGAAGAGAAGAGAGAGATGATGTGGCATCCTGACATGTGGGGTCCACGTTGGTTCCACGCTCACTCAGCCGCCATGTAGAATAAAATCGGGTCAGACCTATTGTAACCGGTTTTAATTAGTTGAGAGACGACTGATATCTGGTTTTGCGATAGGAGGACGGTTTTGTAACTCGATGACAAGTTGAGTGACCTTTGGTGTACTTTTTCCAACGCAAGGTAAAACGTAGACCTAGCCCAATAGAGCAGACGATCAACTGAAGGAAAATCCATATTACGTCCCTCAACTTGTTGATGAATTTGGTTCACTTCCTTCAACAACAAAACCGGGTATACAACATCCCTTAATTGTCAATACAAGTTCATTTTACATCCTCAACGGTTTTGACAGTGGAGGGACCTGTAGTAAACTTATTCCTCAAGTTAATTAGCAGGCCCATAAAGCCCTTCCATTTTGTGTGTGAGATGGGCTGGGTTGGGCTTACATTTTAATTCCATCGTTTCCATATACGTGATGTTGTAAGGAAAAAGTCCACTTTGACTCCCTTAATTATCGACAGAATCTAATTCGTAACCCTCAACCGCAAAACCAGATAAGACGACTCCCCGAACTATTGAAACCGGTGAAATTTGACTCCCTCAGTGGTTTTAGAGGACGGTTTCGCTGACGTGGCGCTGACGTGTCGATGTTGACCTAGTCTTCATCTTACGTGGCGCTTACGTGGCATTCGAATTAAAAAAATATGTGGGACCCATCTGTCATTCACACCCAAAAATATATTGTGGGACCCACTGACATGTGGGGCCCACGTGTCATCCCCTCTTATCTACCTTCTTCAACCTCCCCCTCTCTTTCTCTCTCTTTCTGTTTACGAGCGTGGGATGGGGGCTAGCGGCGGCAGGAGGGCGGGCGGGCGAAGGCCGGAGCAGGGGCCAGATCGTCGGCGGCGGCGGACGGGGGCCGGAGCGGCGGTGGCCGGCGCCTCCTCCAACCCCATCCCGGCCAGAGTTCACCCAGCCCGGAGCGGAGTCCCCCTCGCCGCCTCTCTTTCTCTCTCCCCGCGAGTCGTCGACGTCCTCGCCCATCCCTCCCCCACGGCGCCGTTGCCGCCCCGCCTCGTCGCTCCAGATGCCATGGAGCTCGCCGTGCTCTGCACCGACCCTGTCGTGCTCTCCGGCCCCTTCCTCTGCCTCCTCCTCCACCTCTCCCTCTGCTCCTACCGCCTGTAGCGCCCGTTCCATCGTGGCGCCTAGCGGGAAAACTATCTCTTAAAAACCCTATTTGCGAAATCTGTTTCTTTGCTTGTTGTCTAGTGTCCGTGTCATCTCAGATCTTAAATCCCCGATCTATTGTTGAGTTCAATCCCGAATCCAAATCCTTCCCGAAAGTCCCTCCGCAAAAGTCTATTTCGCCTCCCCCAGGTTGGATGGGCCGAATCTCTCTCGGCCCATCTTCCCCTCCCTCCCCGGCTCTCTCTCTCTCTCTCCCTCCCGGGCTCACTCTCCGCTCTGCCCGCGCGCCGCGCGCGCGTGCGCGGCGCCGAGCCGAGCCCTCCGACTCGACCCCTGCGCGCTGTTGTTCGCGTGCGCGCGCCCGCGTAGTCGCCGTCCGTGCCGCGCCTGCGCCGTCTGCGTCACCCGGCCCCGCTGCCCTGCCGCGCCTGCAGCCGCGCAGCCGCTCAGCCCCGCGAGCCAGCACGCGTGCCCGAGCCGCGCCGCTCAAATCGTCGCGCCGCCCGTTGCTTCCCGCGCGCGCACGCCGTGGTGGCCGACCGCCTGGTCGCTGCCGCCGTCAGCCTCTGCCGCGCCTGCCCGCGCCTGTCGCCCGTGTCGCCGCTCCGCTCCACACCGCCCCGCCGTCATCGCCGTCGTCATCGCCCGGCCCCCGCCACTCCACGCGCTAGCCTCCAAGGGACGGAGGTAGAGCTCCTCCTCCCTCTGCCGCGTCGCCCCCGCTCCCCTCCTCCTTTTCCCAAAGAGGCAAGGGACAAGCCCCCTTTCTCTCCCCCTTTTCTCCCTTTTTCCCTCTCGCCGGCGTCACCTCCTGTCGCCGTTTTGGCCGCTAGCCGGAGCGCCAGCTCGTCGGCTTGACCGTCCAATGTCGGTTCCCCTCTCCCAAACCGACATTGCCGCCCCTATAAACCCAAGCTCCTCCCTGTAGCGCCCGTTCCGTCGTGGCGCCTAGCGGAAAAATTATCTCCAAAAAAAAAAACCCTAATTGCGAAATTTGTTTCTTTGCTTGTCGTCTAGTGTCCGTGCCTTCTCAAGATCTCAAATCCCCAATCTATCGTCGAGTTCAATTCCGAATCCAAATCCTTCCAAATCAAATTCCTCCGCAAAAGTCTATTTTGCCTCCCCCGGGGTCGATGGGCCGAATTTCTCTCGGCCCATCTCCCCCTCTCCCCCGGCTCTCTCCCTTCCCTCCCGCGCTCGCTCTCCCTTTCTCTCTCTCGCTCTCCCCTTCCGCTCCCCTCCGCTCCGCTCCGCCCCGCCCGCGCGCCGCGCGCGTGCGCGTAAGCCGCTCGCGCCGAGCGCCCCCCCTTTCCCCTCGCTCTGCCGCGCGCGAGCGCGTGAGCTGCCCGCGCCGAGCCGAGCCCTCCTTTCCGCTGCCTCGCTGCCGCTCCCCGCGCGTCGTTCGCGCGCGCGCGCCCGCGTGGTTGCCGTCCGTGACGCGCCGTCCGCGCCAGCGCGCGTGCCCGAGCCGCGCCACTCTACCCGTCGCGCCTCCTGTTGCAAGCCGCGCGCGCGTGCCGTGGTGGCCAACCGCCTAGTCGCCGCCGTCGTCAGCGCCTGCCCGCGCCTGTCGCCCGTGTCACCGCTCCGCTCCAAACCGCCCCGCCGACATCGCCGTCGTCATCGCCTCGGCCCCGCCACTCCGCGCGCAAGCCGCCAAGGGACGGAAGCAGAGCCCTCCTCCCTCTGCCGCGACGCCCCCGCTCCCCTCCTCCTTTTTCCCAAATCGGCAAGGGGGCAAGCCCCTTTC